GTCCTCCCCTCTGTCCTCTTGCATGTCCTGCTCTCTGCCCTCTCTGTCCTCCTTTATGTATTACAGAGGTGAATTGAGGTCTCTTAGCCTGCCTGGCTCACAGCGCTCACATAATTTCTACTCTCCCACAGTCACACATCCTCGGCCAATCCTTCCCTATGAGTTAATAAAATCTCGGCTTGGCCCTTGGCCCATGCCTTTGTTCCTATGCACCTTTCTCATTGGCACTGGTAGGACCCGTTGGCTCCTCCCAACTAGAAATATGTCTCTGTGTCTTTATTCTCATTGTGAGTTGCACTGGAAATGGTAGACCAGAATTAATTTATTGGAATTAAGTTTTCCATCGGATTAGAAATATAAACTTCCCAGACTGCAGTGAGGTCCAGGAAGGCTCTCTGCACTGTGGAGAATTTTTCATCTGCTTTATTTTTCCTAGGCCTAATTTATTCCTCATTTTGGCTGAGCACCACGCCTGAGTTTCCTGTGTACCTGACACGCTCTGTGGAGGTTTCCTCCGTACCTGGAGAAACACTTAGCTCATTTCTGAGCAACTCCCTCAGGGAAAGGACTGGTGGATCAGGACTCCAGGCTCCGTGGAGCCCGGGACACTTCTCACACAGCATGGTCAGCCTGCGGCATGTGCAGCTGTCCAGGAGGCTCTTAACATCCAGTTTTACTGCCTCGCTTGGCCCTTGGCGGGCTTAGCTGGTTGCTGCGACTCCTGCTTTTCTTTCTGTGTTCACTTTGCTCCTCCCGAAAGTCTCAGGTTTTCCCGCAGCTTCCGTGTAAGGACACACCCAGGCAGAGCGGGCTTTCTCTTCTCTACCAGCATCGGACCCCATGGTGCAGAAACCCCCTCTCTTTGATCATGTGTATTGAACAGACCAGGCTGCCGACCTTTGGGAGAGGGGCAAGAGTGAGACTTTGTTTCTCAATCTTTCAGGAGCCGGAGCCAGCCTAGCAGGCAGGTGGGCAGGCCTGGGGCAGGCACGGCACACTTGATTGCCTGGCACAGAGCTCTTTCCCCCAGCTCTTTGCTGGCTGAGTCTAGGGGTCACAGTCTGTTGGAGACAGGTATGAAGCAGCTCTGAGCAGGACTGAAAATGAACTGATTGGCTTTCTGTGTTTTATCTGTCGAGTCTTCCAACAGGGTTAGGTAGGCCTCTTGCCTGGTGATGGGAGCTGATTTCTAGTGAGTGAACCTCTATAAATCACCACTGGTCCTGGCTGAGGCCTGCAGTGGCCTGTGATGCCACAGATGAAGCCACAGTTGAGGACACCTGACATGGACAAAGGCTGCAGTCCCCTCACACCTGCAGTCTCACTCCTACCATAACGTAAATGTCGTCCTGGAGATGAGACTGTTCTCCTAAGTTGGCATAATTAACTGCTTGGTGACGTCTTGGAAGGGACTCCCTAGGTCCTGCTCATTCCCCACCCCCCATCCCCCACTTTCCTCAGGATCCCCGCCCTTTGTTTGGACCCAATAGATAGGGGAGGCCCAGAGAAGCTCTTTGTCTTATCCCTCGTTGTAACCACAGAGTCAGAACTCTGGGAGAGGACTTCGGTCCCCCCAGAGCCCTAAAATCACACCGCTCATCTCCTCATCTCATTTCGGCCTTCGCTGTATGCTCCTTTGGGGGAGATGGAGCTACATCACGCCCCTAACAGTCTCTCCAGATTTGGTTCACTTCCTCTAAAACCCTTTGTGAGTTTATAGGCACCGCCACAGATGGTAACTGCTTAGCCGCGGGACTTTTCCAATCAGAGCGTGTAGGGAGCCCACTCTCTCATCCACTCTTTCTCCCTTTGTTTGGGGGCCTTTGGGGTGCACAACCTTGGACTCATCTGCAGGCAAGTTTTGTCCAGCAGTAGCTTTTCACTCAAAGTTAAAGACTGTATTTTCAAAAATGGACTGCTTTAAATTTCCGTTTCTTACAGCTGAAAACACTGAACTCTGTTCCTGGAGTAAGAGCCCAAGGCTGGTAATGGTTTTACAACTACTTCTGCTTCAGGAAAGCCTGGCGGTGTTCAGGCTTCCAGTCCAATGGGCTGTGTCCTTTGATTAGCTGATACGTGGCCCTAGTATTCATCTCAAGTGTGGAATACGTGAGTGGCCGTGTGCCCCACATCCAAGAAGGCCTGTGATCATTTTGGTGTGGTTGGCATGGGAAGAGCCATTCCGACTGTTTCGTTACTTTTCTCATAGCTGAGACAAAATGCCCCACATCCAGAGTTAAAGGTGGAAGGTTTGTTTAGCTCACAGGTTGCAGAGGTTTCTGTCCATAGGCAGCTGGTTCCAAGGCAGGGTGGCTCATGGCAGAGGGCATCGCGGAAGAGAAATGGGCAGAGGGCAGCAAAGCAGCAGCAGTAACCAGCAATGACAGCTCTCTTCCCGTCCCTGATAGTCCAACCGGGCTACCTGCCCTCAGGGAGCACTCATTCCCAGGGCGGGGGCACCTGGATCCCAGCACCACACACCTCGATCCCCGCCTTTGAAAAGCTCTACCTGTGATGACATAAGGTGTGGGGGATGTGGAGTCACTTTGAAGGCCCTAGGCCCCCTCGGACCTGCAGTAAACAATAGCCCCCGGTATGTGAGACAGAGGCGGGACAGGAATGCCTGTTCTCAGTGAAGTTCTTATCACCCTCTGAAACCATGTTGTGTGACCTGGCTTTGTTTACAGAGTCATGAGGAAGTGGCCGACCACCTTTTGTGACACTAGCAACAACATAATTAACAACATTCTTGGGCTAATGAATTTCCTCCTGGGCTAGAGGGGCTAGAAGAATTGATGTTGATTAACTTAGATGAACATTGTAGTCTGTCACATTGTAGCTTGTCACAAGGAATGCTTTTTCTCTAGTTAATTGTCTGTGCTCTGTGAATTGATCCGGTTTACTATATAAGAATCCTAGAATAAAGACTGGGGGTGCAGTGCAGTGCAGGCAGTTGCAATTGCCGTCTCTTCTGTTTCTTTTCCGAGCGCTGCACCCCCCGTGTCCCGATCTGGTGTATGTGTGCCTTTTCCCGGAGTTCAGAGTGCTCTAGACACTCCCGACAATAAGGCTTTGGGGGGCATCTAGACAGGAGCCCTAACACTGACCTGCACCAGTGGAGGGTGTCACTTTTGTGCTGCTTGACCAAAACCCCCCAGCCCCTGACAGATGCCCAGGTCCCCCAGTGTGGAGGCAGAGGAAGTCCATCCTTCTCTTCACAGCTGTTACTTCCACAGATGCTGCCCCCCAGCTCTGGAGGACACTTAGGGCTGGCATTACGTCACACACATCATGAGGGATCACCTCTGGGCTTGGTGGTGACCATGGCACTGAGTCTGCTGGCACCAACCAGGGCCCAGAGTTGTGCTACTCAGACACCGTGGGGAGAAGACCAGGAGCCCACTGCAGCAGAGCCACTGAGGGAGCAGTTACTAAATCTCCTGCACAGGGCCAGCGCGGGGCTCCCCACCCCACCTCAAGCCACTGTCAGGCACGGCTGCGCAGGAGGCACGGGCCTCTCACTTCCTGATCATCCACTGTTGTAGCCCAGCAGGCTCCCTCCCAGCCAGAGCTGCTGTTAGAGGGCCACAAGGGGCTTAATGATACCTATCCCTGCTGGCTCCAGAAGGCACGGGTTACCGCTGAAACACCACGGTGCATTCTGCACTGACTGACAGCTGCTGTGCAGGAAAATGGCTCTGCTCCCCAGCTGAGCACGAGGCTATCACCTGCTCAGCTCCTTCAGTGTGCGACCTCACTGGCCAGTGGGGCCAGCTGCCATGTGTCAGGTCATCTCCGTGCTTAGTATACCTTCAGGATTGGGGGCCACGCGTAGTAGGTACTTCTTTGGGTGGGATGGCCTGTTTGAGGGTATGAAGGACACTTGACTTCTCCACATTCATCTGTGCACACCATCTGTCCTGTACCCCTGCAGGCACTGCCGCGAACACCAGCAAACCCAGCACTGTGTCTCCTGATGCAACACAGCTTCTCATTTTTGCACATGGCCTCCCGGCTCCCAGTAAATCCCACATGGATAAAGCAGGGCCAGACTGTCCAGGAGACCTGCCTTCCCTGTGGTCCAGAGGACCAGCTTGTCCCACATTGGAGCAGAAGGCAGGTTTGCCAGATCCCCGCTTTTGAAACATCCAGAAAAGCAGTGTTCACACACCAATGTTCCTACTCTGTTCATCCTGAGCTTAGGGTCGAGGGGTGTGCACTGCAGTGTGAACCTCTGATCTAAGTCGCTTCAACTTCGATGCCTGTAGGAATTCTATTTCAAGCAAGGATCACATTCAGATGCCTTTAGCTAGACCTCCCCATGTCTTCGCCCTGTGATGTGTCCTTTTGTACCAGTTTCTGAGAACCGGTTTAATGAGCACACTGTGTTTATAGAGCAGTCTGAACTGCTTCCAAAACCCGAAGCATGCACCCATTTCAGATGGCTTCATTTTTTCTCTCAATTTTAATTCCATCACCAGGAACAGATGAATACTTCACTGGTCACCGCTAGCCAAGGTGGCCTGGTCCTTTGTTGCTTAGTTCGGTATATTCTGCCTTATGTACCTGCTGAGCTCCTATACTAGACCCAAGACAGCTGCTTCCACCCTCACACGTGGTGAGGACATGAAGGGCCAGGTTGGGGCTTCGCTCTGAGAATCCCAGCGTAAGAGGGGATGCAGCTCAGGGCACAGCACTGCTCAGCCTATGTGAAGCCCCTGTGCCGAAGAGGAAATCAAAGAGCGGCTCCTCGGGCGGACGAGCAGTGACCACTGTGTGCGCGTGGCCTCCTGCCCTCCTCTGCACTCCTGCGCCGGCTTTGTCTGCAACTGTTGGAGACACAGAGGGACTGGACCCACCTGGATATTTTGCAATCTGCTATGGCTTTGCTTTAGTCTCAGAATCTTTCTCTACCTCTTAAATATTTCCCTTGAAAGCCCTTTTTGTGAAGCCAAAACCTAGATTTTGATTTAAAATTTTACTAATACTTTGTTTTTCAGGCCTTGAGTCACCACGTCCAAATCCGCTCCTTGGGTTGGTCATCAGTGAGAAACAGAAACACCTTCCAGAGCCTGTGGAGCTGGACAGAATACATGAGAAGGCCCCCCTGGACACGCCAGGCCGTCACCGCCTCCCTGCAGCCCCATGGTCCAAGAGGAAGCCCCCGAAAAGCCAGCCCTCTTCTGCAGCTGTGGGGACCCCAGCAGCTCTGCTGCCTCTCTCTGAGGCCCCTGTTTGGAAAACACTCTCCCCAGGGGCCACCTACAGCATCACCACTCCTGCCACAGCAGTGCCAGCTCCTGAGGCAGCTTCACCTGTCCCTTCGAGGCCTACGAACCCAGCCTCGCCACTGCGGTTCCTCCTGCAGACTCTTCAAGGGGAGCTCCTCCCCGGCGCCTCCTCCCCATGACCTTGCTGGCCCGACCCCACCTCCCCAGCAGGACGGCAAAGCCAAGGGCCAGGCTGGGCTGTCAGGAGCACTTGTCCTCGATCCCATTGTCCAGCAGTTTGGCCACTTCATAAGCAGTGACGCTCAGGAGGAGGAGAAAGATGACAGGCCCTATGACCCAGAGGAGGGGTACGATGTGGAGCGAGCCTCTGACACCCCAAAGTGGCGGGGTGTGAAAACCATGCCTGGTGCTGCAGAGCAGGCTGAGGTGGCCTATGACCCGGAAGACGAGACCTTTCTGGAGGTGGCCAGGGAGACCGTCGCTGACCTGCCCAACGTAATGTGCACAGACCTGGGCAGCAGCTCCCAAGAGAGGCCTGGGGACCACAGGGAACGTGGGCCTCCTCCCGCTCAGCAAGGGCACCAGGAAATTGGGGAGGAGCTGAAGTCTCTGCTGGCTAGAAGACAGCGCTTCCCCAGTCAAGGACCCCAGGACTACTCACACTTGGGATGCAATAGAGACCCCAGCAGAAAGCAGCAAGCCTGAGACTCTCGCCAGGGCCCTGGCAGGCAGCACACAGGGTGCTTCCCTCGCACACAGCCGGCTAGGTGCCTTGGCAGCCCAGGGACCGGGGCATCTGGTGCCCGAGCTGCAGGGAGCAGGCTGCACTCATGACCATGCAGCAGTCACAGTCAACTCCAGCGGCCCCCAGGGAGCACCCGTGGCTCAGCAGCTGGAGGCAGCATGGCTGACCTGAGCAGACAGCACCACCGTCCCGATTTTTCAGTGCCTCCGAGCACCCGCACTCAGCCCAGGCTGCATCTCCAGAACAACACTCAAAAGGGGTCTGCCATTCAGCCCCAGTCTCCTTCCTTCCTTCCTTCCTTCCTTCCTTCCTTCCTTCCTTCCTTCCTTCCTTCTTTCTGTATCAGGAATCAAACTCAGGACCTTTGTTTGCCAGGCAGGTGCTGTGCTGCTGAGCTATATCCCTGGCCTCTGTGACCTCTGTCCTGGCACATTTGGGCCAGAAAAAATGGTCAGGAGGTCAGGTGAGAGCATAGCAGGAAGTGGGATGAGGAGAAAAGCTCGGACATAGGGGAAGGGAGGGACAGACAGACAAGGATGGGCTGCAGCTTGGACTGGGTCCTTGACACCGAGAGGAAAGCTATCTGGCGAGCAGAGTCAGAATGGGCAGTTGCAAGATGCAGCCGAGCTCCCTGCCGGACCGAAACACACGGTGCCTGCAGCCAGGTCCCAGGTCTCCAGCACGAGACTTCAGCAGCGCAGTCTGCTCCGCTCCCGAGCTCCCCGAGAGTGCAGCACTGCCAGGCTCCTCCAGTCGGTGTCTCCCACCCTTTCCAAGCCCTCCCCCAGCTGATGCTGTGTGAGATCCCACCCACAGATCCCAGGCCTTTGCATCGTTCCAGCAAAGAGCCGCAGGTGTACATCAGATGGCAAGAGGAAAAGCACGTGGTTACTGGAGATGGCAGGAAGACTCGTGCAGGAGAGTCCGTGCCCGCAGAGAGAAAGGCGATGTAAATAGGAAGGTGGTGCTGGGACCCCAGGAAAATAAAAGCACACAGACCAATCAGGCTTTTGGAATTTCATAAATGTGTGCCCCAGTCCGGTGCTCTCACTGGCTGGCCGGAGTAACTTCCAGAGTGCTGAGTGACCCCAGCACATCACGAGCCCCTTGGCCATCCTGGAGTGCGCTCTGGTTGAAGCACATTCGTGCCGTCCACCCGCAGGGAACTTTAATGAGGTCTTTGTGGAGGGGAAGTTACTGAAGTCAGGCTCCAAGCTCTGACACACGTCTCTGGCCTGGAGCTTTGTTATTATTTCTGCTTCTCCTAGCATACTGGAAGGGCAGATCGAACCGGGGGTGCAGCCCAAATTCAGGTGAATGGAGGGAGAGTGGTTTCTGGCCCCAACTGTGCTCCTTGTACTATCCTGCTGAGAGACATGGTCCCCAAAAATCTTTAAGGGGTACAGAAGGATAAAGGTCCATCTTCTATGACTGCTTCCTGCTGAGTAGGGGTGCTGGCCCTACCTGTGGAGACCGAGGCGCACTTGCTCTGTCTGATCTAAGGGGCTGGAGGCCCTGTCTGCCTTGAAGGATTTCTTGTCAAGCTGAGGGCACGGAGGTGGGTTCTGGGCTCTGGCCATCACCAGTAGTGTAACAGCTATCAAACAAGAACAAACAAGCTTGACCAAAAGGTTAAGTAGGTACATCTAAACAGTAACCCTACAAGAAGCATTGATAAATGTCCATCCAGGAAAGTGACCAAGCTCTCCAGTTCCGAGACTGGGCAGAACACCCACACTCAGACACAGTGGTTCCTAGCAGATCTGGGAAGCGCAGTCTGCTAGCTTCCAGCTGCATCTCCACTGTTTCAGCCTGGCGGGCACAGGAACCGCACCCCACTTTAAGAGAAATAACCCCTCTGCTCTGTCGAGGCTGGTCAGCTCATCAGGCTGTCAGACCCTCGGCCACCATCAACATAGCAGACATGGGCGATGAGCTTTAAGGCTATAAGCAATGGCTGCTCATTATCTCCGTTAGAAGCACTTTCTTTTAATTATTCAGGAAGACCCCAAGACAGAGAAAAAGAGTGCTGTTATAACCCAGGACAAGGACTCCAGTGTGGTGAACCAGAGTACCGAGGCTAGCTCTAAGGTTTACTTGGGGGAACAAAACCCACTTACCCGGTTCAGCACAGGGTTGGCGTTTTCTCTCTGGAAGAAGCTTGAAGGTGCACGCTGGTTCTCGGTGTATGAGGCCTGAGTGCCTCCGCATCTTTGGGCATCTCAGCTGGCTTGGATTTCACTGCTGGCCAGCTGTGCGGTCCTCGTAACCTTTTCCTTTCTGCTGCAGTGCAGTGAGAAACCAGAAGGACCAGACATCTCAGCAGGCCAGACCGAAAGCTATGGTTAGTGTATGGAGACGTCAGCAAACCTTCAGGGTCCCCGTGAAACCTGCCCAGTCTTCCTTTGCGTTGCTGAAGATCCATAGGGGAAAAGGGGCTTGAGAAGGCATCTGAGTAGTCAGGTGGGGTGGGGTGGAGGAGGCGTACCCCTAAATGGGCCCCATGGGCAGGAGGAGCTGTGGGAACCCAATAGGCTTACCCCTGGGTCCAGCCGCCAGGGGGGACCTTACCGAGCCTCTCCTGCTGGGCCCCAGCCAGGCCTGAGCCGACGGGGAGGAACTCCCTGGGATGGGGGTCATAGAAGCCACACACAGCCTGCTCCCCGCCGGTCCCCTCATGGGACTCTCTGGTCCTGGAAGCTGTCCAGGTCTCCCTGGTGCACTCAGCAGAGCTGTATGCTCGGGGCCTTGTGATGGCGCTGGTACTTTGGACCTCTGGACGCCTCCCTAGGACCACAGCCGCCACCTGCAGCAGGGCTGCTCTCCTGGCTGACGCTTTAAACCAATTATCAAGCCACCTAAAGTCACAGAATATCAGTCTGAAAGAGGAGCCGTGGCGCTTTTCTCAATAAAACCCAAACCTGGCAATGTTCTTGTAAATGTGAGCCTTGCCTAAGAAACAGGCACTTTAACAGCTGATAATCTGCTACCTGCCAGTAGGTGGCAGTGCAAGGACAGGGACAAACACGTCTCTGAGAAAATCCCGGCCAAATCAAGCAAAATAGGATTTAAAATACACATCCAGCATCCGTGCGGCTCGCGGCTTTTGAAACATGTGCACCTTTGGATGGGACCCTCATCCCTTCCGAGTCTCTGCCTCTGTCATGCATTTTTGCTAGATCAAGCCACTAAAAAGATACGCATCAGATGATGAAAGAAAACTTCACAGTGCAGAAACTACAGGTCACATGTTTGCTTAGACGGGGATGAAATCTTGAGGCCACGGATATTAAAACCAAGGCAAGACCAAGTAGAAAGAGCTTGAGTTGGAGAAGTCCCCCAAGAGGGACCACTGTGGGGTGGCCCTAGGAGCCAGGAGAAAACGGTTGTCTCATCTCTTACACACACATACACACACACTGGAGTGCAGAGCGCCCCCAACAGGGGCAGCTGGTGCAGCCCTGCTGCCGTCCAGGCAGGGGGAGGGGGCAGCCCAGGGTCAGGTCGCTGGGGCCGTCCCCCTTCTGCTGCCGCCCATGGCTCACCCAGTAGGGCCTGCGGGGGCTCTCACCCAGAAACACACAGAGATGGGGCGTCAGGAGCAGACCCCGCAGGAGTCCACACTCTGCCCAGTCCCCCAAAGCTACCAGCCACGGGGACTTTTCTGGAGCTGCAAAACCAGCACAGGACAAGGCCCGGGTGCTCCTGGCCGCCTGGCAGCGCTCTCCAGCTGGTCCCGACCCCCGCTAATCTGTCAGGGCTGTGCCCTCTCAGCTGCCCAGCCGTGTGCTCTTCCCTTCCAGCCCTGCTGGATGGGCCACCCAAGCCTCTCACCAGGGGACTCTTCAGCCGGCCTCCACGCAGAACCCCCCTGACAGTCGCACCATCTCTGTAGCGGGCCTGAGGGGTCACAGGCTGTGGGGCTTCCCTGTCAGTTTCAGGGACTTCACCCACAGCTGGGAGGGTGAGGGGACAGGTGTCTCCTGCCAGGGTAGTGGCAGCCTCCCACTGCAGGCCCGTGTCCAGCAGCCTTCTAGGAACTGAGGCCTCGCAGAGATTCGGGTGTGGGGAGGAGTGAAGATTTCCTTAGCAGAGAGCAAGGCTGACCAAGTGTGGGAGGAGTCACCCCTGAGCCCCTGAGGTCCCAGACCACAACCCTGGGACATGAGAAGGGCGGGCACTGCCTGCAGAGACCCCTCAGCCTCCGGTCCTCCAAGGCCATCCCTCCAGCTGCTGGGCATGAGATAGAGCGCTGCTGTGCCGAGCACCACGGTGGTGGGGACTAGGTCTTCACGGGGTGGCAGCTTTGAGCGGCAGCTGTGGGCAGGGGAGACAGAGCCACAGTCGGACTCCGCGCCCTCCTGTGAGAACCCTGCCCGCCCCTGCAGGGTGCTGTGCCTAGAGCTGCTCCCCACACCCCCACCCCCCCACCCCGCATCAGTGCCCACTGCAGCAGCGCCTGGCCACGCTGCCTGCGACCTCCTGCAAACGCGGCCCGAAGCTGTTTGCCTGGGGCTGAATGTCTGTGTCTCTAGTATTCACTCTGCAACCCCGTCCCAGAGGTGATCGGTGGGGAGGGCTCAGTCCCCACGTGTGGGCTCAGGGCGCCACTGGACAGGAAGGAAGGAGCTGGTCAGCCCTCTTTTCTTTCCCTCTTTTTGATAAGATTGGCTAAGGGTTTGTCAATTTTATTTAATCTTTCAAAGAACCAACTCTTTGATTCATTGATTCTTTGTAGTTTTTTAGCCTCCAGTGTGTTAATTTCTGCTCTGATCTTTATCATTTCCTCCCTTATACATGCTTTTGGATTAGCCTGCTTTTCTTTTTCTAGAAGTTTGAGGTGCAACATTAAGTTGTTTATATTTGCTGTTTTCCTGATATGGATATTAACTGCTATAAATTTCCCTCTTAAGACCGCTTTCATTGTGTCCCACAAGTTCTAGTAGTGTAGTCATTATCATTCAACTGTAAAGACTGTCTTAATTTCTTCTTTAATTTCATCTGTAACCTGTTGGTGTTCAGTAGGGTGCTATTTAACTTCCATGTGTTTATGAAGTCCTTGTGGTTTCCTTTGGCGTTGCACTGTGGTAACTTCAGTTCCTTTGCACTTACTTAGCGTGTGCTATGAGCCAGTGTGTGGTCTGTTTTGCAGAGTGTCCCGTGTGCAGGTGAAAAGAATGTGTATCTGATGTTGTGGGGTGGAACACCTGTAGACATCTACTAGGTCCATTGTTCAAAAGTTTGATTTCTAATATTTTATTATTGATTTTCATCTAGTTGATCTGTTTGTGACAGTGGGGTATTGAGGTCTCCCAACACAACTGTATTAGGGTTTATTTGATTTCTCATCTATTAGTAATTGTTTTATATGGTTGGGTGCACTGGTATTTGCAGTGACTTTCTTTATTTTTCTTAATCAGTTTTGGCTTGAAATTCACTTTGTCTGCTTTTTTCTGGGTTCCTGTTACATGTAGTATTGTTTTCCATCCTTTGACTTTCAGTCTATGAATTTCTTTTTGACTTAAATGTGTTTCTTGGATGTAGCATGTTGTTAGGTCTTGCTTCTTGACCCATTCTCCAGTCTGTCTCTCTTGACTGGGGAACTGAGACCATTACCCTTCATGATTATAACCAATAGGTATTGACTTATCCTTGTCATGTCGTTGGCTCCCCTGTTTTTCTCCCCTCCCTCTAATTGTTTGCCTTCCCTGGTGGATTCCTTCTGTTGGGGTTCATGGAGCTGTAGTCCTTATTATCTCTTTATAGAGTGTCCTTCAGAACATTTTGGAGTGCTGGTTTGGTGGTCATAAATTTCCTCAGATGTTCTTTTTCATCTTATTTGAAGTATCTTATTTCTCCATCAAGTTTGAAAGATAGTTTTATGGGGTACATCAATCAGAATTGAAAGTTGTTTTCTTTTAGAATTTGGAGTACTTCACTTCAAGTTCTCCTTAACTTGAAAGTTTGTGCCGAGAAGTCAGCTGTAATTCTGATGTGCTTTCCTTTATGGATGATTTGTTTCTTTTCTCTAACAGCTTTTAGGATTCTAGTCTTGTGTTGAATTTCTGGAATCTTGACTATGATATGCCTGGCTGTAGATTTTGTTTTTTGTCTTTTTCCTTTTTATCGGTACTGGGGATCGAACTCACGAATGCCTGCTTGCAAGGCAGGCGCTTATGCCGCTGAGCTAAATCCCCAGCTCCAGATTTTTTTTTTTTTATCATTGGTAATTGAAGTTCTATCTGCCATGTTTATTTGTATGTCAAATTCTTTTTCTCTACCAGGAATGTTTTCTGTCATGATGTCTGTGAACATTATTTTAGTGTCATCTGTGGCATCTCCTACTTTTTCGTTGACTCCAAGCACTCTTAAGTTATTCTTCTTTGTCTCACCAACAGCTGCTGTATTGATTTCTCATGGTCCCTTGCTATTTTGAGAAATCTTTCTTTTTTCAGTTGCTAACTGCAAGCCTGTCTTCAGTATCTGAGATCCTGTCCTCACATTGGCCTAAACTGCTTCTAATACTTTAAATGGAGATTTTATTCTCCTAGATATCTACTTGAATCTGCTTTATGGATTCCATTTCTTTCCTATGCTGCACTTTCATAATTTTCTTAAGCTTGTCTATTTTTTGTCTGTGTCTGCTCTAACATTGCTAAGCATGGTGTGTAGTTTGGTCGTCTCTGTAGTTATCTGAGAGATTACTTCCGATTTCATGTTTCCCAGAGCCTCATTCAACTGGCTTGTTTCCACTTCAGAAAGACCTGGTGGGTGCTCTTGGATTGTCCTCCTCATTGCCCCCTGGGTTTGCCTTTGGTGAACTGGATGCTGGGGTTGCATTTTGCTTAAGTATCTTCTCATTTTCTTTTCTCTCTTTTTTTAGTTTAATTCCTGGGGTGATGCTTGTAAGTTGCCTAGGGTGGGTTGCTTTATTGCTTGTATTTTGGACCTTTAGGTGATGATTACTTCTCTGAGGTAGCTTCTAGGTGCAGCTGGTTTTTGGGTTTTGAGTCAGTTGGAAGATCTCTTCAGTTTGTTGATGAGAAATTGTTGCTTGTTTGGCCTGGTCCCTGGTTCTTTGGCACTGTGCTATTGTATTTTCTGTGACCTTTAGTTAATCTCAGTCACGGAATACCAGGACCACAGCTATTTAGAGCAGTTATGTCAATTTTGGCTATAGTGATACCAATAGTATCAAACACAAGCTTAGGGAACAACAAACTGAGCTAACAATTTACAACTTTTAACCACGTGAACTAGACTTGTGATTCTATAACAAAATGTAAAACAAACCAGATAATTATATGCAATATGTAAGTCTATAATGTGTCAATTTTGCCCTCAAGGGTTAAAATTTAAAATGAATTAAGGAGAAAATAGAGAAGTGTGAGAAGAGGAAGAGATTAGAAGTAAGGTTGGAGGACAACGGGGATCACACAGTTTGGAGAAACTGGTGCAGAAGACTGAAAGGAAAGAGATGGAAGAGGTAAGAGGAAGAACAGAGCAGAACCACACCCACAAAGAGGCTGGGAGCCGTGTTCATACTCATATGAAGGAGAAAGAGAAAACAAAACAAAACTTAAAAACAAACAAGTACAACAAGAAGAAAATGAAGAACAGTCCACTTCTGTCCGGGTTCCCCGGTAGACAGCCTGTGGAGACAGAGTCCTGAACCGGGCGGCTCTATTCCAGCAGGCCGGCAGTTGCTTTAAGGCAGAGTAGTGTGTGAGTGATCTCAGCAGGCAGCCCTGAGACCAGACTCACTGGGCTCGCCACAGCCCAAGCATTTCCCACAGATCTGTGCCCAGCTGGGAGCTGCTGGAGGAAGCTGGCAGTGGTTGTGGGTTTCAGACTTATCCGGCCCAACTCCAAAATGGCTCCCAGCTAATTGCTCTCTCCCCACAGGAGGACCGAACCCTCTGCACTCACTGCCAGCCACTCCCCTTCACTGCTGTGTTCTCTGCAGAGGCCTCCAGGTTCACCAGCTGTCACCAGCACAGCGACCGTGCGTCCCCAGGTTCCACAGTTCCCCGCTGCCACCACCCTCTTCCTTGGAGTTTTTATTTTCACTCTCTCCGTGGGTTTCAATGCGCACTTCAGATTCTTCCTGGGCCAGGGGACCCACTTCCTTCCTCCCCGTCTGCCTCACAGTGCTGCATTCCAGTGTTTGGATGGTGACTCTCAGAGGCTGATCTCTCTGCTGCTTAACACCCTGCCATCTTTCCAGAAGTCACATTTCTTTTTAATAGAAATATTAAAAATAGTGCAGAGAGGCCCCGTGTACCTTGAAAGGTTTTGGCCCAGACAGGACACTGTAGCCAGGAAAGCCACAACCGGAAGCAGGAAGCCCATCTTGCCCTGCCCCTAGGAAGTTACCTGTGATGCCATCTTCCCGCCCCTGGAAATTTACATATGGCGCCAAACCTAGGACCAATGGGCTACCTGTGCATCCCTAATGCCCGCCTTAGGTTCCACCCCAAACCGAGGCTATTTACAGGCCCCCACGCCACGTGTCCGACGGAGAGATCGCCGGACGCCAGCGGTGGGGTGCCGGTCATCTCTCTCCGTGTTCTCAGAATAAAGGCCGCTTTTTATTTTATATTTCTCATCTTTTGTTAATATTTTTCATCTTTTGGAAATAACTCTATCATACCTCTCACCCAGTCCCCTGCCTCCCAGGGTTACATTTTGTTTTTAAAGAGCACACTCTCAGAAGTGGAGCTGATAAGGAACATGGGTGTGTGTCCACTTCTACTCCATCTGTGACAAGTGCTTCCTAACCCATCAGTGTTACCAGCACACAGCAGCCCATGGCCAGCGCCATCCTCAAGGTCAGCCCCACTCTTCTTGCCCCCAGTGGCCACTAATCTGCTCTCCACATCCATAACTTTGTCATCTCAGTGCTGTGACCTGAAAGGAACCAGAGAGTACCTTCCTGCTAGGGCTGCTAGCGCAGACACCACTGACTGGAGTGTTAACGAATCGTGTATCCTCATGGCCATGGGGGCTGGGAGCCCAAGTCAGGCTGCCAAACTGTCCCTCTGTGGATGAGAAGGGGCCTCTCTCTATGGTCTGCACCTGGTCCCTCTGCAATGGCTTTTCCCTTGTCAGTTCCTTTTATACTAAGGACTTCAGGCCTACTGGGTTAGGACCCCATTCTAATTATTCATTTAATTTTAATAGGACCTACCACCAAGTACATGGGCATTAACATATGCATTTTTATGTGCTTACGTCAGTCCATAACATCAATTTATCCCTGATAGGAGTCCTTTTCAGATATGTAGTTTGCAAGGATTTTCTCCTAGTCTGAATGTATCTTTTTTTTTTTTTTTTCAGTTCTAGGAATTGAGCTCAGGACCTTCTGTGAGCTAAACACTACAAATCCTGTGGCTCTGTGTCCAGCAACTGGGAAGCTTGGTGAGATATGAGCTCCAAAGGGTGTGGGTTGCCCTGGCCTCATGGCATGGCCTATTGCAGTCCTCCTGGTTTCTTTCTTGGTTTCTCTGCTGTGCTTTTGTGCTCACTCATAGCTTCAAGCGCTGCCCTCTCAGAAGCACAACTCCTCCCAGACCTCCTCCTGAAATCTAGGCGAAAGTCTTTGTGACTCCTTTTTATAACATTTTTAAATTTTATTTACAATGTAGTAAAAATACAACAGAATAAGAGAAAACAAAACCAGTCTAGGCAATGTAGTGACACTGGTACAGAGCTTCACAGCAGGACACTGGGACAGTAGTAACAGGTGCTATAGTACATCTCGTTATCTTCACAACAGTTGTCCAATCAGTTAGGTATAGCGAAATCAAACCAATAACAGACCATTGTAAAACCAATTGAAAGAGAATATTGAATAGAGCATAACAATCATTACAAAACGTAACAGTGAAAATAACCTTTGCCTTGAACCAGAACAGAAGGAAATCCCCCTTCCTTGCTATACTGCATATGGTCATCCTCCCAAGAGATGCTCAGAACTCTGTCCCCAGTTGCTGAGGCAGGGGATGTTTGATTCTCAGCCCGCGCACCTGTAGGCTCACGGGAACAGCTGACTGGTTCTCCTCCCAGCTGGTGCCAGGGGCTCTTACCAAGAAGACGGGCAAATTGCTTTCTTGTGCAGCCGCCTAAGTCCAAACTTAGGTGGGGTCTCAGGTGGCCACTTCTGGTTCTCCCAAGTCTTGGTGACTCTTGCAGCATGCCTGTAAAATCAGCACCACACGAATGATGCCAGGGTTCGCTGCCAGTTCTAGAACTAGTCACACACTGCAGATTGTAGCTGCAGAAGCCTCTCTGTACCTGGATGGCTGAATTCTGAGAAACTCTTTCCTAGTTGGCTCTTAATAGAATGGGCTCCCTCAGGCTCTCTTCTCAAAGCAAACTTTGTCACACTTGCACTTTTGAGCCTGCAAAAAGCAGGGTCCTGCTGATTTATGAGATATCCTTAAGGCTTCTTTCCCTATTGTACTGATACAAACTACTTGGCTTCTTTTTAATGCTAATCTTTTCAGCAACCAAGCTCTCCAAGGCCCTAATTTCACAGGCTCTAACTTAGTAGGTACTTCCTTTCTGGCCACCAGTAAAACTTTGCAACTTAGCTGTTATTTTTTGGTCCTGATTTTGGTATATATGGTTAAAAGCAGCCAACAATACTCCTGCAACAGCTTAAATGTTGGGCTACCTTGAAATTTCCTCTGCCATATAAATTAGCCAGCCACCCTAAATCTCAGTCACTAACCAAGTCTCAAGACATGGGAAAGATAAATTTCTGAGTACAATACTCATAGCCTCTGGTCCAATTAATTGCCAGTGGAGTCCTTGTTCCCAGTTGAAATCTTCTAAACCATGCTTTAACAGTCTGCATTTCTATCACTATACTGGTCTTCTGAACTCTGATGAAACTCTCCCAAGTGTGGCTTTACAGCATTCTGAGTCTTCTCTAGCTGAACTTTGCATACATTGCTTCTAAGCTAGTCCCATAGGCTTCTGAATTGCATGATCAGGTATTCAGTAATACCTCAGTTCCCAAATGCTTCTATTTGTAAACAATTCAGTTTTCTTTTCTTTTTTTAAAATTTTATTTAAAAGGAAAAAGACAAAAAACAAAACAAAACAAAGTGGTATAAGGGTTCAAATAATACAGAACTACCAAAAAAATAAAAAGTAAGAAATCACCAGTTAATAGATAACATATTATCATCTTAGAGATAGTTGCTCAAGTCACAGTATCAAAGCATACAAAGTGGACATTCAAACAGTGAGACTGCAAACAGTTGTGTTCAATGATCCAACCAAAAACATTAATATGGTCAGCTATTTAACACCCCTAAACACACTTGCTGTTGTATCCTTTAGAGCACTTTTTTTCCCCTCTCTTTTTTACAACAATTCAATTTTCAAACAAAGGCATTCAACAAAATTTGTGCTTCCATTCACAGACTGCACATCAGGTGACAAACACAACCGCAGACACTTTCCCCAAGTTTGTAAAACAAATTAAGCTTGTCAACCAGGATACTTCTGTAATCATGGCAACAACCCCACTCCTGGTACCAAAAATCTGTATTAAACCTCACTAGAGTAATGTATTTAATATAATAATAATGGTTGAGCAATTCAATTAAAGGTGGAAGACCTGGAACTCACTGCAGTGTCTTGTTGGTAGCTGAAGGGTCTACAGTGGAAGGCTGAAGAGTTTGTGCTGGAAATTATACAAAGACAGAAGCCCCTCTGAAGAAACAAAAGCGAGGCTTTCTTCTTCAGTACCTTTTTTTTCCATTCAGGCTGTAAGATTATTGGCTGGTGTCATTCACATTCAGGGTAGGTCTTCTGTCTTCAGTAAACTCATTCAGCCACACTCAAAACTATACTAGTCCAATTCGTTGGGAATTTCTTGTTCAAGATGACACAACAGTTAACTGTCATGTCATGCAAAGATTTTACTGATTTCAATTACACAAAACCAGTAAACATATTTTATATATGTGTGTACATATTACATATATACACACATATACATATTATATGTTTACTTGTTTTATATATTATATATGTTATAGATTAAAAACGTGGTCAACTTAATGCCAGCTGAATTAAATCATCATGGTGCTGAGTGTAGATATTCCACCTCAGGAAAGTTGCCAGCATAATTAGAGACATGGAGAAGGCGATGGGAGGCATTGAGGTTCTCCTATGTGTTGCTGTTTGAGCCGTTGTTTCTCCTGGAGAAGCTCTGTCCTTACATCTAGCATTGCTTCCTGGCTCTGGAGGGGAAGACATGTGTCGCTTCATCTCCAGGATGAACTCTTCATGCTGGCTTCCTAGCATGTAGTCAACTGTGCTTATCATCAGAGGAGCTCGGAGCCTCTCTGTCACTGAGGATGGCAGTGGTGATTTTCAGGACAGCCCTGGTTTCTGTTGTGAGTGTGACTTCTTGGTTCCAGCATAGCACCCTCAACCTCACAGCTCCTTCATCTGATGGCACAGACTTTCTAGTTTCCACCACTGACCTTTGGGCCTTCACAACATGGATCCATAAAAGAGACTGGCATGAGTCCTTCTTGTGGGTTCTAGACCTCCAGTTGGACTCGTAGGAGGCATTGCATGAGCCCTGGGTTTTCATCGGGACTCATACAGGACATTGCTGTGGGATTCAGGCCTTTGGCTAAATATTCTATGTCTTTGGTGTTATGGATAGATTTCCTGCAGTTTCTTGTGTTAATTCTGGGTGACCAACATAAAACAATATTATAAATTCCATGTCCTGGTTTTAATTTTTCTCATAACCCCTGACTACAACAATATGTTTATTGGTTTTATAATTTTTTTTTTTTGGTACCAGGGATTGAACTCACAACTGCACGCTTGCAAGGTAGGCACTTACACCGCTGAGTTAAATCCCCAAACCCTGGTTTTATAATTTTTTATAATACCAAGAATTGAATACACAGCCCTCACACTGAGCTCCATCCCTCGCCTTTTTAAAATTTTGATACAAATAAATAAAAATTTAAAATAAATAAAATTTTAATACAAGGTCTTGCTAAGATGCTAAGTTGCCCAGACTGGGCTTGAAATTCCAATGCTCTGAACTCAAATATTTTTGAAGTACTGGGATTATAACTGTGCCCTGTCACACTCACTATAATTATCATATATTGGTACTACAATCATGTGGAGTTAGCTTTCCGTGTCCATTGTAAATAAGGGCTCTCATCTGAGGTTTTTTTTTTTTTTTTTCAAAATGAGTAATCAGCTGTCCTGATGTCCCTCATTTAGAGTCCATTATTTCTCTACTGAGGGGTTATTGGAAATGAAAAGTATACTACTACATACATAGTATATTTATTTGAAGAAAAAGGTAATACAAAAAAAATCAGTAAACGTTCTGGAGATAAGCTGTGAACCATAGTAGAATGAGGGAAAGATCCATGGTTTCCTTCAAAGAAAACCATGCCTGAGCTCTCAGGACTTTAAATATCCAAATTCCTATACAAAAATTGATGGCAATGACTGAGACAAGGATACAAAAATAGAAGACACAGTAATTATTTTCAAACAGCAAATACGAGACTTTTAAAGAGTGCATGTTATATGATGCTATCTAAAGTACTTAGATTGGTTCAGATTTAATGCAACCCCAGTCAAAATACCAAAATCATTTCTCACAAAGCCAGAGAAAACAATCCTAAAATTTATAGGGAATCAGAAGAGACACCGAACAGCAAAAGCAATCATGGACAACAAAAGCAAAGCAGGTGATATCACAATTCTAGACTTGAAGTTATATTATAAAGCTACAGGGATGAAAATATCATGGCACGGCATAAAAACAGGTGTGTGGAGCAGTGGCACAGAATACAAGAAGCAGAAACAACCCAGGCACATACGGCTATGTTATCTTGGACAAGGGAGCCAAAAACACACACTGGAGGAAAGCCTCTTTAATAAGAGGAGCTGGGAAAATTGGATATCTAGATGCAGAAGATTTAGTCTAGATCCATTTATTTCATCATTACTAACTAAAAATGGATCACAGACATAAATATTAAAACAGAACCTACTGGAAGATCAAGCAGGTTAATTCTTGAAGACACAAGTATAGGTAAGGACTTTTTAAACAGAACCCCAATGGGAAAAGGAATGAAACCAAGAACCAACAAACGGGATCATATCAAATTAAAAAGGGTCCACACAGCAAACGAAACAAACAACAGAGTAAAGAGACAATCTACAAAGTGGTAAAAACTTCTGCCAGCCGTTCCTCAAACAGAGGACTAACACCATGAATATGTAAAGAACTCAGAAAAAGACCTAATCAAAAAATGGACAATTAAAATAGACACTTCTCAGAAGAAATGCAAATGGCTAATAAATACATGAAAAAATACCATCACCGGCCGTCAAAAAACTGCAAATTAAAACTACACTGAGATACCATCTTGCCTCAAAAAGAATGGCTATCAAAAAAAAATCTAATAACACTGCTGACAAGGATGTGAAGGAAAAGAACTCTACTATACTGTTGGTGGGAATTTAAACTAGTACAACCACTATAGAAATCAGTGTGGAAAGGCCTCAAAAAGCTAAAACACATTCCATTTGACCAAGGTGATCCCCTCCTAGGAATCTTCTCAAAAGAATTAAATCATCATATTATAGTGATCCATGCATACTCAGTTTATAGCAGCACAATGTATAAAAGCCAAATCTCGGAAGCAGTGTATATGTCTATGGATAAACGGACAGTGAAAATATGGCATTTATACACAACGGTGTATTACACCGATGCGGAAAAATAAACGAAGCATTCACAGCTGAATAGATGCGACTTGAGAACATAATGTTAAGTGAAATAAGTCACAGATGCTCACACATTGCATGGTTTTTCTTATACTCTATAAAACTCTATAGAAGAAAATAGGAAGCTCAAATATTCCCAAAATTACTATTGTGTTTTAAAAATATTCCAGTATACTTTAACTTCATTTGTACCGATAGTTAATCTCAGTTTGTTTTATGTTTCTTTTTTGTAAAAATCCTTTTAAATGTTTTTAAGTTTTGTCTTCAGCAACTACTTGAAGATAACCACACACAGTGTAATAACGACTCAGTCTCTTACTAGTTGGTTACGAAAATTAATTTTTTCATAGAAAAGCAAGTGCCTAGAGTGGGCGGGGCTTGTGGGCGTGGCCGGGTACCAGGGGGCGCGGCCCGGAAGGGGCGGGAGGCGGGACCAAGCATCAAGAGGAGCGCGCGGGATAGGGTATGGCCGGAAGGGGCGTGGCCCGACCCAGGTGTGACTGAGCTTCGGGCAAGGCCGGCAGCCGGCAGTACGCAGGTAGATAAGGACGCAGGCTGGCCGGGGGACCCACAGAGGAGTGTGGCGGGGCAGGGGGCAAGCTCAGAAAAGAGCACAAAGGCGCGGCCCTGGTGTAGACCAGAGCGTGAAGAACCGTCAATCTCGGGGACGCACGGCGTGAGCACGCCCGCGGCGGCCTTCTGGGCGCCTGTACTCGCAGTGGCCGCCGGGAGGGGGCCGAGCGGTTGGGTGGGGGCGGAGCCCGAGCGGCGGGTGCCGGAGGGGCGTGGTGACGCAAGGGGTGGGGTTACCGTTGCGAGGCGGGGCGGGGCGGCGCAGGCGCGCTGCGCGACCTCAGCGGTTTCCCTCCCCCCAACGACGAGCCCGCGGCGGCCACCCTTGAGTGCTAGCGAGGCCTGTGTGGCCTCGCAGCCCGCGTCCGCGTCGCCGCCCCCGCGCCCCGCCGTTGGGCGGCGCCGCGCCGGCATGTCGGGCCCCGGGCCTCGGGAGCCGTCGCCTGAGGCGGGCGCGGCGGGCGGCGACGCGGGCCCCGAGGGCGCGGGCGGCGGGGACGCGGCGCTGGGCGAGCCGGGGCTGAGCTTCACTACCACCGACCTGAGCCTGGTGGAGATGACGGAGGTGGAGTACACGCAGCTGCAGCACATCCTCTACTCGCACATGGAGGCGGCCGACGGCGAGCTCGAGGCGCGCCTCGGCTCTACGCTGCTGGGCGGCCCCGGCGCGGGCGCAGGCGCGGGGGCGGCGGGGGCGCTGTCCACGGCGCCGCCCGTGTACCCCGTGCTGTGTCCGCCGCTGGCGTCCGACGCCCCCTGCCTGGGCCACGTCGACTTCCAGGAGCTGCGCATGATGCTGCTCGGCGAGGCAGGCGCGGCCGAGAAGACGCCGGGCGGCGCGGACGGGGCGCGGACGCGGGCGGACGGCGCGGCCAAGGAGGGCGCGGGCGCCACGGGGCCCGAGGGCGCGCCCGAGGCCCGGGCCAAGCCCGCTGTGCGCGTCCGCCTGGAGGACCGCTTCAACAGCATCCCTGCCGAGCCGCCCGCGGCGCCTCGCGGCCCTGAGCCCCCCGAGCCCGGCGTGGCGCTCAACAAGTGCGTGCGCGGAGAGGAGGGAGGGTCGCCTTCAGCTGTCAGTGGGCTCACGGTGCAGCCTGGCTCCTTACGGGGCCAAGACAAGTGGAGATGGGGGTGCAGTCTAAATGCCTGTCAGGCCTGGGGCAAGACTAAAGATAGGTTCTCTGATCACATTCCATGTTCTGGTAGGAGGTGAAGTCTGCTGAGGCGGGCTGGGTGGGGCAGCTGGTTGCATGCCAGGTCCCAGTGTAGTAGACACAGGGTCCCAGTATAAAATGCGGGAGCGCCCTCTGACTTGCATCTTCTCAGGCAGCAGACCCCCGGGTCCAGGTGACCTGAAAGGTGTACTCTATGCGAGTGCTGAGTCCTCAGCCCCAGGTGGCACCTTGGGGAGTGTAAACCCTCCATCTGGCTCTGTGCTCAAAAGGAGGAAGAATTGGGACAAGTGCACGCGGGGCTCTGAGGATGCTTGGCTCCTGTCACCTTCCTAAGTGCCACAGAAAGCCTCTGCCTCCCCCAGGGCTAACAGGGTAGGGTGTGGGACGATTCGGGCCTGGGGAGGGAAGATCAGAAGTGTTAGGGGATTCGGAGCTGTTAAGACAAAGCCGCGGCCTGCAGCAGCTTGTGGCCACTTGGTGACCTGCAGGGGCGGAGGAGGCTGATGCCCTGGCTTTCCATTCATCCGCAGGCAGTGGCTGCCCTGTTGCCCATCCTCACTAGGGTTTGGAGGATGACAAAAAATGTGAGTGTGTGGAGGAGACTCCGGCTCACTTCCTCCAGGAGGAGCAAGAGTAGATCATTCCCTAGCAACACCGGTTGGTGGTTGTACAGTAATTTCCGGTGAGGGTGTGCTCCAGAGTCTAGGGCAGCGAAGGCCAACCTTTTAGAGCTTTCCTATGATACAGACTGCTGTAGCAAGCATGCCATAGGTTCACCACCAGTGGTCTAAGGTGACCTCTCAGGGTGGTAGTGAGTGATAGCATTGTTTCTAGAATCCTGCCACCTGGTCTTTTCAGCTTTCTGGATCTTCTTTTGTCTTGGCAGTTTGGTAACTCTTATTCGACATCCATCTGAATTAATGAATGTTCCTCTTCATCAACAACAAAATAAATGTACAGCATTAGTGAAAAATAAAACTGCCGCTGCGGCTACTGCTTTGCAGTTCACCTACCCCCTCTTCACAGGCACATGCTCCACGGGTGGAAATTCTAACCTTTCACAGACGCAGGTGGGAAACCGATTTAGAAAGTTTCCTCTACTATAGTGAATGGATGGATTTTTAACGTATTGTACATAGACTTTCATGGAACTTACAACCTTTAAAATTGAAATAACATGTATGGTTTGGGCTATATTAAAAATCTTTAGTGAAATGCTGTCAGTAGCTTTGAGGTTACTTCTGTCAAATGCATTTTATTTGTGCAGGAAATAGCAGATTAAGCCACATTGATAAAATTTCTGTTCCATTTTTTCTTAGAGTTCCAGTAACTCATGTTCTGTACTTGAAGCTGCCAAGCACCAGGATATTGGACTGCCAAGAGCATTTTCTTTCTGTTACCAGCAAGAGATCGAATCCACTAAACAGACTTTAGGTAGCAGAAATAAAACTTTGCCTGAGCAGGTTTGGATTAAAGTGGGAGGTAAGCCATAAAGTAGTGGGTGGTGGGCAGGCTCCCTGCCTGAACCTCGGCTGCAGGCCCTTTTAGCCATGAGGAGCAGGGGAAAGAGGCGGTTTGTACACACCCGACAGTTTTGTGTGTCTTAAGGGTTCGCCTTACACCCTCTTCCCATCATCTCGCTTTAAACATTCTTTTGAATTTTAAACATCATAATTCATCTTAGTACAGAAGCATTGAAGTTGAAGGTTTTTTTAGAAGTAAAACGATAGACTCCAATCTTAGTTTTTATGACTGAAAGCACTTTATAGCTTATATTTGTTTTATGCTCTGAGTGCTGTAGGATTTGAAACCTGCTGAAGGCATAGCAGAGAGACGTAATAGAAAGGTACTGCAGGTGGTCAGGAACTAGACTGAGATCAGAGGCCATAAAGTGATTAGAAAGTTTGGGAAGTAAGAGGGCTACTCAGGGCAAACATTGCCAGCCTTGAAAATGAACTGTTAGTCCCTTCCTCCCTGGAAAAGATGTTTTTCAAGTTACACAGTAAAGTAACACTTACATTAAGCTTTTGACAGATTGATGGAATAGGGTGGAGACTAAGAATCATGCTGGCTCCATCAGCCATTTCTTTTTCTAGTTTGGGCATTTTATGCAGGAAAGAAAGGATTTGTCAGGAATCAAGATGAGCACTGAAATGTGCCTGTGCTAACTACTGAGGTTAAGAAAGAAAATATCACTGAAGCCTTTAAAGTTCCTTTTCTGCCCCCCTTGAAATGTTTCCACTTCTCTAAAATTTGTATGAATAATCCCTGGGCTTTGTGTGGCATATGGGATTGTGTATCTATACACCTGCTAGTGAGATGCCTGCTCGTGTTTGCTGGGAATTTGTCAGGTTTCTGTAGCAAGTGCACACAGCACGTGGCATAAAAGTCATGCTGTTCATCACTGCTTTTGGAAGGAAACTCACTTCATGGTGAGGACATATTTAATCTTAAGCCACTAAGTTTTGTCTTCCCTTTTGAGTAGTGCAGAAAAGTTGTAGTTGTCACATTAGAATAATTGTATTATAAGGAAAATGTCTTTTTGAAGAAGATACTTCTTTTCCATTCTCAGTTTTACAAAAGGACAAGTTCTTGACTCTTTATAGGTAGCATCTTTATTTTTATTTATAGGTAACTAAAAACGGGCACATTTTTGTGATACTGGGCAGTTGAACCCAAGGCTTCATACTGAGCTGTATCTCTAGCCTTTTTCTAATTTTGAGGCAGGGTATGTTCAGTTGAGCTCAAACGTGTGAATGCCTGCCTCAGCCCCCTAGAGAAGAGCTAGGTTGTTGAGTGACACTTGGAAGAGAGTTTCTAGTTCAGGTGTAGATTCGTGCTTAGGTTTCAGTATCCAAGTAGGTATGGACCTCAGTGCAGCTGCACACAAATTCCTGTTGTCACAGCTGTGGTTCAGTTCTCTGCTGCACACCCAGTAATATTTCTACCTTTTGAAAGCCCCCAAATACATTCTACATTAATGGGGATGCGTTAAGAAGGATAAAAAATTGAAATCCCATTTTTTCCTTCTTTTGCAAAGAAGAAGCGCTTTGTAAGCAAGCAATAAATAAGAGGAATCGGAGTAGAATACGTCAGTTGGACACAAGTATAGAACGAAGAGCCCTTGGAGAGATTCAGAATGTGGGCGAAGGCTCTACAGCCACACAGGGCGCCTGGCAGTCCTCGGAGTCCTCACAATCAAACCTGGGGGAGCAAACCCAGAGCGGGCCCCAGGGAGGAAGGTCTCAGCGTAGGGAGAGGCATAACCGAATGGAAAGAGATAGAAGGTAATGCGTGCGCTTGTCAGGTCACTTCGTGTAGTTATCCTGGACAGGCAGGTTTATTGTGGATAAACAGCAGTTAGCGCCTTTGTCCAGAGGGTGGGGAGGAGGCAAGAGTAATAACTTTGGTTTGCTCGACTGGGGATCCCCGAGACTCCCAAGTTCAGTGATTCTCTAGAGGACTTGGGTCCATGACTTATCCAGAGAGGCCACATGGGTGAAGGCACATGGGGAGAAGCTCAGGGGGATTGGATGGAAGGTTCAAGGAGTCCTTTCCCTGTAGGGTGTCTGGGACTCGCCAATTCCCTGCGGTGGTCTAACAGTGCAGTGCGGTATGGCCAAGCAGGTGGGCTCATCTGAGACTGACCTTAGTTAGGACAGGCCACTTAAGTACTCCTGCCGTGTACACAGCTTCAGTGTTCAAGGGAAACCCTGGCAGGGTTCAGCCCTGAAGGCTATTCTAATCTCTCGCGGTCTAGGTTCCCAGACACTGCAGAGGGCCAGTCTGCTCAGCAAAGCTAGCAGGCCACTGGATTACCTCTGTGTGACAGACAACTTGGTCCTGCATTTTGTTTGGTTTTTTTAAGAATGTTGGGAAAGGAGGAGGTTAAAGCTGAAATGGTCTATGGTCTCTTCTATGGATTTCATCCATGTTTTTCTATGTAGACTCAAAGGTGATTAATTTTTCTCTGTTGCAGTGGAGTTTCTTTCTAGTGTTTCCCTAGTAGTAATACTTGATTAACTTGGTCATTTATTATGCATACCGTATACCAGTTTCTGTTTTAGGCTCAAGAAATAAATAGCACTAAGTGAGACACATTCAGCTTTGTAACTCCAGAATTGAATGTCCCGCCAAGGCAATTTACTGTTTTTTTGTTTTGGTTTGTTTTGGTTTTGTTTTTTTGTGACAGGGGATTGCTTTATAGATCAGGCTGACTTAGACTCACAATGTAGTCCAAGGTGGCCTCGAACTCACAGCGATCCTCCTGCCTCAGGAGGCTTACAGGTGTGAAGATGTATGAAGGGTCTAGAGTGTACAAGCTGTGAACGTGAACTTAGGTTAGGCTTTGCATGTGAGTGGATGTAAGATGTGAAGGGTAAAAAGTTTAATGATAAGATCCAAACTGTGTTTAAAACACTAAAAAGGTGAGGTTTCTGCATATTGACAGTGGTCTGATGGGTTTTAGTCTGGGCCTGTTGAAGCATCTGAAAGCTGCATGAGTCTTTGTACAGCAGTTGGCGCATGGAGAACACATTCAGCCTTCTTGGCAGGAAGCGTGATCTACCCAGGAGGGGCGCACACACAGTTTTCCCTCCAGTCTTGGAGTAGATCCAGCCCAGACTTAAGGATGTGGACCTGACCCCTGAGAAGGAGATAGGGAAAACTGTGCTGGGAGCGGGCCCGTGGGTGCCCCACAGGTGTTCTGGCAGCCTGGAGCCCAGTAGTGGCGTCCGTGGACGGGAGCACCGCCACAGGGCCCTGACCGGCTCGCCCAGGGGTCCCAGTGCTCAAATAGCTCCGCAGTCAGCTTCCTTTGAGTCAGACAGTGAACCGCCTGCTGCCCGTTTGCTCACTCGCTGCTCTGTGTGATTAACATGGGTTTTGACTGCAGGCGCAGAATCCGCATTTGCTGTGACGAGCTGAATCTTTTAGTTCCCTTCTGCAATGCGGAGACGGATAAGGCGACAACGCTTCAGTGGACCACAGCGTTCCTGAAGTACATTCAGGAAAGACACGGGGATTCCCTTAAAAAGGTTAGTATTCAAGCAGGCCGCAGAGCTGTGTGAAGTCTTGGGAGTTTTACGTAGCAGCGTTCCAGTTTACCCCCTCTTCCCTTGGATGTCTTCAGTTGCCGTGTTTCCTGAAACTGAATGTGAAATAATAAGCGCAGTGTGAACAAAGCTCCCTCGGCAGTAGTGTAACTCGGCAGTCGTTAAAGTAGGAGCTGCAGTCTGGGCGTGTTCACGGAGGTGCAATGTGTGAGAGACGCGAAGGGTCGCTTGTCAGGTGACGTATTGCAGACCACCACAGTGTGCGGTGTATTGCGCGGGGTCCAAACAGCGTGTAGGATGTGACTTTTGCCCTCAGAAGGCAAACAGGTTACATCTGTGGGCTGAGGGACGAGGGATGAGCCGGGTCTTCAGTGTGTGTGCACTTCGGCTCTCCGGCAGCCTGAGGCCACTTAGATTTGTCTGACCTGTTGCAGGTGGTGATAACCAGCAAGCCCACTTGCTTCTGCTGGTTTGAGGAGGCGCTCATTTGGCCCCAGGAGCGTAGAGGAAGAAGGGTAGCAGTCATGAGTCGGTTATGTGCTATGCCTTGGGAGCCACGGTGCTGGGTGCCGGCCTCAGAATTCTGGTGGTCAGCACCAGTAGCTCTTTGTCTGCCAGGTGTGATTAAGCCATAGTAAAATAAACCCACAGTGCCCTGATTTTGTGTCTTACCCAAGAGCTCTTGGGCAGTTGCTGTTGTTGACCCCAGCAGGAGTCTGCCTGGAGTTGGCTGAGATGCCGCAGTCTAGAGCCTTTTTAGAAAGGACGCCTTCGAGGAGCCCTTCCACAGTCAGGCTGCGCCAGGCCACCTTCCTGGGGCCTTGCAGCGGGAGTGTCCTGTGCTTCTCCCTCCTCAGTGTCTGCATGACAGTTACATCTTGTGAATTGCGTGATTGCATAAATTCTTTATTTCATTATACGTTTCATTGCATTTTAAAGCAATACTATGTTGGCTTTATTCTAATTGAGTCATTTACAGTTATTTATATGTAGTTCTTTAACGTTTGTTAGTAGTAGACTGCTGGTTTATTTTAATAAAGCTTTAATGTTTTTAAATGACTTAATGTTTGGCTCTCTGTACCTGTTCATAGTAAATTATTACTGATGAAATTCCATCATGATACAGTAAAGGTACTTAAAACTTTTGAAATAAACTGTTAACTAGATTAAAAACTCATGGATGTTTTTTGTGGGGTTTTTAAATTTTATTTTGGATATTATGTTTTGCCTGTTATGTTTTCTGGATATTTCTGAGGTACAGTTGCATTGAATTTGTAGATTGTTTCTGGGTCAGATTATCAGACCCATCCCAACAGGCAGAGTAAAGTCATCCGTGGGGAATGGGAACACCACTAACCTGAACACTTGTACTTGATTATTTCCATAGTAGTTTCCCTCTACCCGCATGCATATTTTTGTTCTTAAAGATGCAATAATGAAAGTTTTCTGTGATTTTTCTGATTCATCAGTGCGTATTTCACTCAACAAACATTTCTTAGTATAACAAGGCATCTGCTCTAGACCGGGGTTCCCTTGGATAAGGCAGCGCCCCTACCAGCATGGGAGGACACAGCTGGCCACAAACAGTGAACACGGTGGTGTCGGAGCCCGCTGCAGGGTGGAGACGCTGCTGTGGGCCAGTGGGCAGCAGCGGGCCTGTTTGCCGAGGATGGTCACTGAAGCCTTATGCTGAGGAGCCTGCATCGCAGAACGTGCAGGCTGCGGTTCCGTGGGTCTTGGGGTGGGCGCGTGATTAGAAGAGGGTTCTGCCTACAGTGGTGTCACTGGGGTTGGAGTACAAGGTCGTCAGGCCAAGGAGCGATGGACCTGGGTGTCCTCCCAAGAGCTCCTGCAAGGTTTCAGGGCGGGAAGGGACATGAATGTTTTACAGCCATCACTCACCACTGTGGCGGCAGGGGTCGGGGGCTGGATACCCTGTAGCCTGTAGCAGGAGCTCTGGAGAGAGACGCCCAGGCCAGGACGGCAGAGGAGCGGCTCCCATTGTGTTTGCCAGCTGTGGAGGGCTCGGATGGGTAGGGAGCCACGGGACGGGGCTGCGGTGAGCTCGGCGTTCCAGGTGGAAAGTGCTGAGCTGTCAGGGCTGTAGCGTGGTTGGGAGTGTTAGCAGCTGAGCGAGCAGCTCGGACGGTTGGCTGTGTGTTCACGTTCACGGGAGCACCTGGGGTGCGGGATACCTGTGTGCCTGCCCCCATCTCAGCAGTGCACAGCTGCGTGTTCGCCTCCATGCGTTCCCGAGACTGCGCAGACTGGAGTCCTCAGCTTGGGGTATGACTACATCTCTGCACAGCCCAGTGCTGTGGTCGGCCCCGGAGGCTGGTGGCAGCTGTCTCGTTTCCTGTCATGCTCAGTCACCATTCATGTTTTCCCAAATTGTTCTAAAAATGATCTTTCAGCAGTATTTTCCCCAGTTCAGTACCTAGCCAGGGATTATCCATTGCACTGACTCTGGTTTTCAGTCTCTAAGCTACATGGCATTGGCTCAGTGCTTGATGGTAATTTTTAACTATGGCGTCCCTTCAGACGTAGAGAAAATCACACAAACTGCACAAAAGCCTCCTGTGTACCCACCCAGAGTTGCCCTGTGTTCCCTGTTCTTTGTCTTTCCCAGCCCTTGTGCAAGCCTCTTGAGTGGGTGGAGAGTGTGTCACTGCTGTCTGCCAGTACCTCAGTGGTTACCTTCTAAGTACATAACTGGACCACAGGACATGGGCGCTGTTGTGATACTTAGTTCGTCCTGGCTAACACTCAGGTGTTGCTGGTTGTCCCAGTGCTAGCCTCCATAGCTTTCTGCAGTTGGGGTCCAGTCCACAACTGTAGGTGACAGCTGTGTTGTGGCGCTGTTGTAGATTGGCAACTGTGAACCTCAGTGAGGTACTGGAAGCTCTTTGCCACCGTCCGCCTCCATCTCCTTCTGGGTCCCGTCACGGTGAGAACTGGGAGCTCTGCAGCCGTTTCCCTGCTCCTCTGTTCCCTTGGCAGCCACCTGCTTCGCCACCTCCTATGACCTTGTGCTCTGAAGTCAGGCCCTTGCCTGGTTTTTCCTTTTGCTATCAGCTTACCCGTTTCCTTCTCTCCTCGTGTGTCCTGACAATGGCCGCTGTGTCTCCCATCCTCTTGCAGGCACTCTGGCTCCCATGTCTCCTGCCAGCACCCATCCATTCTTTTCTCTCCTTAGCTGCCAGCTCAGTGCCATCTGCACACTTCTCTCCCTCTTCTCGACTCCCAGCAACCTTCGGAGACGGGTCCTGTGCTAGCCCCAGACACACCCCTTTGCTTTTGTGCCCTGGAGGATCCTGCCCTCCCTGATTTCTTCGCCCACCCTTGGCCTGCCATCTCTCCTCAGTTCTCAGTGATGGGGTACTCCCAACATGGCCCGTGGTCCTGAAGCTGAGGGAGAGGAAGCTGGAGAGCCCCCATCAGTGTGCAGTGCTTGCTGTCCCTGAGGTCAGTGGGCTGACTCTCCTGCTGTGCAGCACCATCCTGAAGACCAGAGCGCTCTCTCCCTTGTTAGGAACCCAGCTTGGCTCTCCTGGGGGAGTGCCCGCCTTGCTGGCGTGGTTGGTAGGCATGGAGTGGAGGCCTCCTGTTGAACCCATGTGCGCTGCAGTGGCTTTGGGGGCCTCATCTGGAGCTTCCCGTGTGTTTGTGTGCGCTGCTGCTGGTGTTACCATGTAGCCCACTTGGCACCTTCTCGGGTATCATCTTTGCGGACATACCTTTGCCTGTTACACAAGCAGCAACAATTGTGGGTCATGTGATCATGTCCTTTATACTCTGGCATATGTAAGTTCCCTTCTGCGAGAGACCCATGCCAGGTAGGTCGTGTCATCCGGCATGTACAGCTTGGGATTGTGAGTGCTGTGCCATGCCCCATGCACGTGTGCAGTGGCACCCTTGCGAAGTGTGGTGCCTGTGCGGCTGCTGAGAGGCGCTGGCACTGAGCCTGCCGTAGAGGTGCAGGCCGGGCAGCGCTGCGCCTGTGCCCGGGCAAGGGGCGCAGTGGGCAGCAGCTGTGCTTCAGCATCTCACTGGGCCCCTGCAGAAACTACCCAAATGCTTGTGTCACCTTTGTTCACTAGTTGAACACATTGCAGAGGAATTTACCACCGTCAGCTCCTGAGCAACACCTGCAGCTTGTACGTGGCAGAATGGACCAGCAGCTGTGTTTGTGACCTGTTCTGTAAATAAAGAATCTTGGGAAGTGAGTCCCTGTGTTCTCTCTGCCCTTCTGAGTCTCGAGCTCCGTCTGACCGTGTTCTGTGCGCTCGCCGTGGGCCAGGCTCTGGTCCTTCGGAGCCAGGCAGGTTCTGCTAGGTTCATCGCTGGCTTCTGGCGTACAAGTCAACGGTGATGCTTTTATTGTCATGGGTTACTCGTGCCATTTAAAATCCTACACCTGTTGTTTCCTTCTTCACTGGTTTGTTGGCGATGACTCAAGTTGAAAGTTTGTTTCGTGATTTTCAGTCTTTTAAATTTACATTTAAAGCAAATTTCTTAGTACTTGTTTGAAAATAACCTGTGGTAATGATTTCAGTGTCTCAGTAATTTTTGTTTACTTCAACATGCCAGTGCTCAAAAGTCTAATTTTCCATATATGTAGAAGTTTTTAAGGAAACACCTGTCTCTCACCTCTGTTGACCATTATGGTCACCGGAGATGCTCTGTGTTTTAAGCAGCTTTAAGAGTCTTGTTTCATACCGGTTCTCTCTGCATCCCTCATGATGAGCAGCTGGCCCCCAAAATTTTAAAAGTCTATTGAGGCTTCTACCATGACCTCTTATATTGTGAGTTATTCTGAGAATACTTGGCAGTAGTGTGTATTTTCTGGGAATTCTATGGGTTTGTTATGCTGAGATAGTATATTTTGGGTCTGGATATGGCTGAATTATCCAGATTGGTCTCCAGGTCCTGTATGCAAACCATCCAGACTGAGCTTCTTGAAAGACTGGGAGTGTAGGAGTATGCCTCTGCCCTGGACGTGGAGGGTGAGGTCATTGAGATTAAAATGTCTCTTAGCCTTTTCTCTTTTTCTGCCAAACATCTTCCTAAAAGACTGGTGAAGACCTCTCACTAAGATCTGTCAAGTCTCCTTAGAACCATCGGTATTTGCTTTATGTATTTCAAGTGGAAATACACAGAAACCCTCACCTCTTCCGACTCCTTCCAACTGTACTTTCTATCCATTCCTTTTTCTCTCAGCCCTCCACTTCAGCTCCTGACGCATAGACCATGCAGCTTTCTTCTTAATAAATTCCTGATATATTTTCTTATATACAATTAGAGCATCTGGAACGATCAGTTTCACATCTAAGTGTTTCTTTGGTCAGATGCCATTTCAAGATGTTTTGGTAAGTTATAAAAATTTTTTTCTTTTCTTTTTTTTTTTTTTTTTGTTTTGTTTTGTTTTTTGAGACAGGGTCTTGTGTGGTTCAGGCTAGTCCTGAACGCATTACATAACCCAGGCTTGCTCGAACTCCTTATGATCTCCTGCCTCTGCCTCTTGAATGCTGGGATTACAGGCATGCACCACCATGCCTGTCCTTCATTTGCTTTTGTTTCTTGTAAAAATCCTTTCAATCTCAGCCCTTCCCTGTTTTGTAGAGATAGCTCTCTGAGCTAGTATAAGGACAAGAGTAGAGATCTGTGTGTTTCAGGCTTCTGTTTCTTGCCGGTTTAGGGTGGGGTGCTCCCTGGACAGTGGAGAACTACAGTGTAGCCACGCTGCTTACCCTGTCTTCGTGGAGACTGACCCCTGGGCTAGTTGCCTTGCCGCGTGAAAATAGTTAAGAACATTGAAGTGCTTTCTTACAGCTGAAAAAGGATTATTTTCTTCTGACCGACCGTCATAGAACTTCTGAATGGTAAATGGTATAAAATAGAGGCAAACTCAGCTTGCTTTATATGCCAAGGTGCCTGGCTCCTCAGAGGCACCACAGCCTGGTCTCAAGACACTGCAGAGCCACGCTAACCAGGACAGCATGGTCCTGGCCTAAAAGCAGACATGTAAGGCGGTGCAGAATTAGAGGTCCCAGGAATAAACCTACACATCTGGCCAGAGACAGCTTTTCCAACAGGTGGGCTTGTGGGACAGATGGCCACGGTAGAAGACTGCAGGTAGACTCCTGTTGCTCATGCTGTATAAAACCTAATTCAAAGTGGTTCAATGACATAAATATAAGACCTGAAACTACTAGGGGGAAAAGTGGAGGAACACGTCCAGCCCAGGATAGCCAGTGATTTACAGGGAACAAAACCATTGACAAGAGGGATTTTATTAGAAGATTTATGCACAGCAAAGTAGACAGTCAACAGAGTAAGAAACGACTTGCAGAATGAAAAAGTAACTTGCCAGCTAGTCACCTCAGAGACATACTATCCAGAGTATTTAAGGGTCTCCAACATTGGACCAAAACTTAGATACTTCTCAAAAGAAGTACAAATGTGCAATAAATATAAGGGAAAATGTGCAATTTCCTTAGCTGTGATCTAAAAGTAGTACAAAAGTGAAGGAAATACAGATAATAAATACAAATAAGATACCATCCTCTAGAATACCTGTTACTAAAAACAGAAGTAACAAATGCTGGTGAAGATCAGAGAACAGGAGGCATCGAGCCCAGGGGGAGTGACATCCCAAGTCTTTGAGTCATCGTGGGAATGAAACCTGGCGCTGGCCACGAGCTGGTGACCCTTGAGGACACAGTGCGTGGAGCCAGCCTTTTTTGAGAAGTCTCACTGAGATGCCCAGGCTGGTCTTAAACTTGCCGATGCTCCTAAGTAACTGGGGTTACAGGCGTGGCCTCCGCGCTTTGCTAGAGGGAAAAACTTGTGCACTGTTGGGTGGGAATGTAAATTACATAGAGCAACTCTGGAAAACAGGATGGAGAGTCCTCAAAAAACTGAAAACATCTGCCAGATGGTCCAGTGAATACCATTTCCCAAAGGAAATGGAATTGGCCCGTCAGAGCCTCACACACCCGTGTTCTTGTGGCGTAGCAGCTGGGATACAGATCGGCCTGCGTGCCCATCAGAAGAACTGATAAAGGAAATTTTACACAGTGAAACTTTATTCTGCCATAAAGAAGAATGAATTCACCTCCTTTGTAGGAAAAGGGAGGAAACGAGGACAGAAGCTAGAATCAAGAGGACAAGCTGTGCATGTTCTCTGATAGTGCGTGGCAGCTAAACAAAGTTGGTCTAAAAAGTAAAGTAATGATTTGGAAGGATCGGGAGAGTAGACAGCCTAGCTGTGACCGGTGCGTGTACGTGTGTCAAAATGCCCTGAACAGCACTAATACCTGCAACTCACTGCAAAGTAACCTAAATTTAGGGAACATTAATGTATGTACAGATACAATTTCTGAGTGTGGGTGTGGTTAGAAATGGCAGATTACTGTAGTCAGGTATCACTGAAGATGTGGGTAAGCAGTGTTGGAACCACTCTCTACGATCAGAAGTTACCCTGAGGGCGGCAGAGCATCCACACTCCTCCTCCTGGCCTTGAGTTAAATAGAAACGGACTGCAGCAGTAGCAGAAGCCGCACAATCAAAAGTTGGACAAAAGGCTTAAACCAACATTACTTCCGAGATGTGTATGAATACCAGGAAGTACATGAGAAGGATCTCACCACTGATAGTCGAGGCAAGGCACAGAAAACCACAGTGCACCCCTCAGGATGGCTGTGACCAAAGAACTGAAAAGGAGTTTTGGCAAACACGTGGAGAAACTAGAATCCTTGAGCACTGTTGGTGGGAATGGGAAATGTTACGGCCACTGTGGAAAACAGTGTGACAGTTTCTCAAAAAGTTAAAAACAATTGCCATGTGATCCCGCTATTCCACTTGTGAGTTAAACCCAAAAGAACTGAAAAGCAGATCCAAACTGCTGGTGTCAGAAGCTCACAGCAGCACCACTCACAGTGGCCGAGAGGTGAGGACAGTCGGGTCCAGCAGATAGCGCTCGCATAGCGCTCGGGTAAACAGTGGTCCTTGGATACTGCGTGTGTGCCCATTGTGAGTCGTTGTGGGAATGAAACCTGGCGCTGGCTACGAGCTGGGTGACCCTTGAGGACATAGAGCATGGACCCGGCCTGTACGGCGTGCTGCCGCTCTGTGGTCCCTGATGAGTCGGACTCCGTGAGAGGGGAAGGAGAACCCGGGAGGCCGAGGACTCGGTGTGTAAGGGGAGCAGATTCTGCTTGAAATGATGGAAAGTTTTAGGAAAAGCTAGTGCTGCTGGGTGGGCACCACAGGCATGTAACACACGGTTAAAGTGACAAATTTTGTCGCGTACATTTCACCACAGTAAACATAGAAACTTAGTGTTACTTGCCTACAGGGCTGTGCTTTAAAAAAATTTCCAAATGTACAAAAACAGAGAGTCTGTAATAATGAATTTTCATGTCCTTAAAAGACGTTTTCTGGCATAATTTGTTTCACCCCCATAATCCTCCCTCTGTAAGTTATTTTAAAGCAGCACCTGCCTTCTCGCCTCAGGCACAGGTACATTTCCACGAGGCAAAGGGCTATGTGAAGCGGCAGGACTGTGGACACACTGGTCCTCGATCCCGTCTCTGCTCCGTTCCTCTCTGAGGCACACAAGTGTCTAGTTAGGCTTGTTGGAAGTGGGCTCCAAATACTACATTTGGTGGGCAGCGCCTGAGCATCTTTCACTCTGTCCCTGTTCCCCACTTCTCCGTACCACTGATCGGCTGAGCCTCTGTCCTGTGGGGTTTCCCAACCTCGCACATAGGTGGTGTTCGTCTCCTGCCTTTCCTGTGAACTGGCACCCTAAGTAGACTTGGTGAGGTTTGGGTGGGAGGTGTGCGGCCTCTACCTCCCATGCTGTTTCGTGGGGCTGGGACTGACCCTTTGGGGCAGTAGAAATGGACCTTTTTCTGGTCCAGGGGATTGAACCCCAGGGCCTTCAGGTAGAGCTACCTCCTGGCCCTTTTTTTAGGTTTTTCTTTGAGACAGGATCTTCCAAAGTGCACTAAATTGCCCAGGGTGGGCTCGAACCTGAAATCCTCCTGCCTCAGCCTTAATAGTGCTGGGGTTACAGAAATGTGGTACCAGCCCCAGTTTAGAATTGAGACTTTTTAGACAGCAGAGAGGCAGGATGACATGAGCAGGGACCCAGAGCTGGCAGGGCGCTGTGGGGAACAGCACTTGTCTTACATGGACAGAGCTGCCTTAGTGTCAGCACCTGACCCCAGGCCAGCCACAGTACACTTAGCAGTGCAGAGGGTGGAGCAGATGCTGCGGGGGGCGTGCTGCAGTATAGACACTGCTGACCTGTGCGCACACCGCTGGTTAAAATGGTGATTTTTCTTTTTTTTTGTTTGTTTTTTTGTTTTTTTCATTTTTATCGGTACCAGGGATCGAACTCACGACTGCCTGCTTGCAAGGCAGGCGCTTATGCCGCTGAGCTAAAACCCCAGCCCCTAAATGGTGATTTTTCTTCCATAACTTTTACCAGTAACAAACATGGCCACTTTTAAAATGTGCTCAGACATCTTGAGAACTTGTTGGAAAAAAATGTATGCATAGTGTAAGTGCTAGGGAAAAGTTTGAACCCCTGTGTTAATCACACATGAAACACCCTAAAACAGTGTTTTGAAGTAACTTACGTAGCTTTGCATTTCAGCCTTTTTGCGTGTGAAGACAGCAGTGTTCCGGTCTCTGAGTTCAGTACATTAATGACCCCTTCTTGGCTCTAGGAATTCGAGAGTGTGTTTTGCGGTAAAACGGGCAGAAGGCTAAAGCTGAGCAGACCAGACTCCTTGGTGACGCGCCCCGCACAGGGCAGTCTGCAGAGCAGCCCCGCACTGGAGACCAAGTGACTGGGCCGGACAGGAGTGCTGGGGAGCCGGGGCTGCTCGCACGCGACCCGGGAGCTCTGCTCTGGCAGTGCGACTCCCAGAGCCGTGGCCGCATGGACGGGACTCCAGGAGGGACTGTGAGAGCACATTTTCCAAAGTATTTACCTAGAACAGAGCACTTGTGCACTAATGTCCTCTGAGGTCATTTGGGGATGAAGACATCTTGTGTTAGTAAGTAATTTCCAATTACTGTCTGATGCCATCATGTTTGCCTAACATGGTAACTCACAATGGGAACATCCTTTGTAACTTCTACTTTCCTTATTTTATTTGCATTTGAAATATGCCCCTTTAGCAATTGGAAGAAGGTAAATTGTTCTTAACTAGAAGTAGTTTGAGAATTTTATTCCACTTGTTGTATGACTCCCCTCGTATTTCCAGTCTCATGGTACTTTGTGTTGCAAAATGCGGTACTATTTTAACTTTGCGGTAAACATTTTCCAGTCTCCCTTTGAAGCTACTTTTGTCCATATGTAAAATATTTTTTCAGTAGGCAGCTTAAGTGCCCACATTTTCCTATTACATGTAATAAAGCGTGTTTGGACGGAACTCTGCCGTGAGTGGCCTTATTTTGCAGGACGAGGTGGCGCCTCCGGCACAGGGCAGACAGGGCGGAGGCTTCCGCCCAGAAGTGGTGAGGCAGGCGGGGCAGGCAGGCTGCCGAAGGGACACCACCCACCAAGCACCTTCCACTGCAAGAGCACTAGGCCGGAGGTTGGGGTATCATTTTATTGGGGCTGTGCAGTCTTTACACAAACGCTATGTAAACCAGTCGCAGTCTTAGCCTGCGGGGTCACAGAGGCCTTTCCACACGCACCCCGCTCCCTCCGGACATTGTGAGGTTGAGGTATTGTCGCAGATGAGTGGGTGCCAGAAACACTGTGGACAGGACCTGGGCCGGTGGCACCGTCGCCACGCGAGGCCTGGTGGCCGCGGCAGTCCAGGAGCCTGTGGACTGACTGCTGGCCATGCTGGCCGCTCCCGGTGACCTCGCTCTTGGCTGGGGCCAGAGCCTCCAGCATCGTCGATTCTCCCTTCCTTCAGTTCTTCCTATGAGCTGCGAGGGCCAGACTTCTCCCCGGTCCCTCCTAACACGGCTCCCTGGCAGGCAGAAGTGTCGCAGATCCCCGGAGTTCCCTGAGCCCCAACGGCGCCAGGAAGGCCGGCATCGCCAGGAAGCCCAGGCTCACCGTGGGCGCCATCACGGCCGTCTTTGCCGATGCCAGGTACGCCTTGTGGCCCTGGAGACCAGATGGGAACAGAGCTATGAGAACCCCCAACCTGACTCAGCATGCGCTTTGCTGACCCTGGACAGGACCGGGAGCCAGCAGGGCCGAGGCCTGAAGTGGGCTGGGGCAGGCAGGTCACAGGGCCAGAGTCCGTGTGGAGAGGGTTTGGGTGGGCCAGGGAATGGGACAGCTCTGGGGAGTCCTGAGGGTCACCAAGGGCAGAGGTGCCTGCCCAGGTGAGGTGGAGGCCACGTTCCACAAGGTCGCTGTCTGCCAAACAGCACCTTGGAGGTGATGCCTAAGGCCACTGTGGTGCAGGGACAGCAGAGCCATCACCTCGAGATGGGCTGGGCACACACGTGCCTTGCAGGGGCCCAGGGGAGGCTGGAGGAGCCAGGGAGGGAGTGGCACCCGCGTGCGTGTGCACACCGAGAGGCTGAGGCAGTGACGGGGACCTCCTGCAAGTCCTACACACGGCAGGGGCTGCGCATGCAGGGCTGGGCAGCGACGTGCTGACCATTTGCACGGGGTGTCTTTTTTAGCAGTGCTGGGACTGAACCCTGTGCTTCACTGGCAGGTGCCATGCTGGAGAGCTACATCCTCAGGCTTCTTTAAAACTTGACTTTAAAACAGGGTTTGTAAGTTGCTCAGGCGGACTTCAAACTTGCAGTCCTCCTGCCTCAGCTCCCAAGTAACTGGGATTACAGGCTTGTGCCACTGTGCCCAGCTTTCATTAACATTCAAAAGTTGAAATGCATGAAGTACACGCAAATCAAGAAAATCTATTAGAATTCAACTGAAACAGACGAGAGCAGCTTTAGTTAAGGAGTACTTACCCAACCCACTTAGCTAAGACAGACACAGGGAGGTCTGTTTATCGATTAAATTTTACGTTAAAGTACTTCAGGCAGTTGGTAATGCTGACCCTAAGAAGGCTTTGCCTCTTAGGAGAAAAGCACTTCTCAGAAACCGAGCCAGGCGCCGTTCCTACCTTGGAGTCCCTGGTCTCCGGGGGGACCATCCAGCCCTGTGCCCAGGGCGCCCTTGTCTCCTCTGTCACCCTGACTTCCTGCAATGAAGGTGGACACGGATACATCACTAGGGCAGCTGGCACAGTGACAGGACAGGGTTGGATCCCGCAGGGATGGAAAGCAGGGCTCCCTGCTCTGCACACTGTTCTGTTCACGGGAGCAAAGTCACTTAGAAATGTGCAGGTGTCTCCTACACAGACTCCGCAGAGGGCAACATGTGGCCCACCCTGCTGCCCGCTGACCTCCCTGCCGCTGATGGGCAGAACTTTGGTTCAAAATACTCAGGCTTGAGCCATTGGCTACTGATCTGGTATTCATTTTTATGATTGTTGACCCCTGCATTACCTAAGGGTATTTAAAGTGTCCTGATGGCATTCAGATCTTCCCTTTCTGTAATTTGGCCTATGTGAGTCATGGTAGGGGAGGTGTGTTAAACTCTTCCAGCAGGGACAGCAGATTTCTCACCACAGGATATCAGATACCACACTACTGGTAGACTTACCCTGTGTGCGCGTGTGTGTGTGTGTGGGGGTGTACTAGATATTGAACCCGGGCACTGCTGACATGCACCCCCAACTCTGAGAGAGTCTCCCCAAGTTGTCCAGACTGGCCTTGAACTTGTAATCCTCCTGCCTCAGCCTCCTGAGTAGCTGAGCCAGAGTGAACTTCTGGTCAATATAGTAACACATGTAAGGCAAAAGGCACTGTTAGCACTGTTATGCTGGCCTGGTGCTGGCAGTAACACCGCCACTGTCAGGGCTGTGGTCTTCTGATGCTGGCCAGAGTTGTAGGCACCTGATTAGCATGAAGTCCCAAAGCCCCAGAGGGATGATTGTCCTCCCCTTGGGCAGTGGGCTTCCACCGGTCACTGCAGCCCTGGGAAGTCTGCTCCATTGGCTCTGATGCAGTGTGCCTGACCTCCTCTCTTGGGGCACTGGTGGGGGACGGGGGCGGCTCCTCCTCAGCTGCCATGTTTCCTGGGGTGAAGAGGCGGCACAGCAGTGCTGGGAGCCTGTCTGGGTCCCCAAGTGGCCACAGTGCATGGGCATCTTCCGGTACACAGGCTGCCTGGAGCCTCCTGCAGCAGCCGGCACAGGGCAGAGGTGCACTCTGGCTGCAGTCCCCAGGACAGCATCCGTTTGTGAGCATCTCTCAGTGGCCTTTACGCCATTAACTAACCACAAACTGCTCTTCCCAGAGAGGATCTGACGTCTGTTCTCAGCAGTCTAGAAGGAATTCAGTCTGGGGAAACCGTACTCTTCTCACACTCGTTTGTGTGGCACTGAACTGCGGAGCCGGCCTGAGGAAACCCCGCCCGCCCTGGAGACGTGGCCAAGGCACCCGGAACAACTGGTTCGGAGCAGACGCTGCACCTGTGCCTCAGGTGAACAGGAGGAGCTGGGTGGCGACACTCAGGGACCCCCAAAACAGGCGGAAGGCATCCTGCTCCCCGCCTGCTCGCTTCCCAGCTGCTGAGCCCCGGATCTCAGGGGAGGAAGGGAATGCCCAGAGTCTGCCCTGACTCTCTCTGAAGCTGTTTCTGGGAGCAGGACATTGCCAGTCGGTCACATGAAATGAACCAGCATCACAAGACCACCTGATGGGGTCCAGCTTTCCAAGGGTCAGTGCCCCGTTTCGCGTCCAGGACCCAGACCTGTGGCACTGATGGGCTGTCACTCACATAAGTTTTTCAATTCTTACCCTCAAAATAGGATTTTGAATGTTTGAATTTTGCCTTTTGCAAGGGACATTGTATATGCTGCCAATTTTGGGGAAGACACATGTTCTGAGGGCCCCTGTTACTACTACTCACATTTTAACCAGTCCCTTCCCGCCCAATGTTCTGTTGAGAAAAATTACACAGTAAAAAAGTTCTGGTACCCACAGGATCAGGGGGGATATACTGGCTGGGCCCTGAAAGCTGAGGTCCCGTCCTCCTGGGAGTGACCTGGGGAGCCCCTTAATAATCTCCCCAAGGAAGCAGCGCTGATGACTGGGTCCTTAGAGCCTTTTCACAGGAGCCCTAGGAACGGCCATGAGGGTAGGAGGAAACCCAGCGCAGGCTATGGGCTCCGCCAGTGCGAGCACAGGCCAGACAAGGCCAGAAGGCGGTGTGCTTACGGCCAGGTGACCTGGAGCCCATGTGTCTGTGGAGGAGACGCTGCAGACACTCGGGGCCTAGGTTTTCTCGTGGGGCTAGTGCGGCTCTGCCCACACACAGTGACCGGTGTTGGGCTGAGTACTCACCTCTGGGGCCAGGGTCTCCCAGCTCTCCGGTGGGACCACGGTATCCAGGAGGCCCTCGAATACCAGGGTGGCCGATGGAGCCTGGGGGTCCTGGGGGTCCTGGGGGCCCAGCTGGACCAGGCCGACCAATGGAGCCTGGTGCTAGAGGCTTCCTCAGGTGTGCAGCTAACTGTGCAATTTGCTCTTTTGGAAAACAAGGCACAGCATTTATGTCAGAATTATGAAAATATTTTAACGTAAGGCACAAATCTACACTGCCTTTCAGAAGGAAGTTTCCATTTATCGCCCATGAGCAAGTTTTACTGCATTGGGTGGGCAGCCTTCCCTGTTCCTGCAGGGTCTCAGATTCTGTGAATTAGGGCTACAGACACCCGCTTGGGGCCTCTGGGAGCTGTCCCTCCAAGCCCTGAGGTGCAGTGACTTGGTCCTTGTGACTGGCGCCTCAGTGGGTGTTTTAGGTGCCTGGCAAGTGCCAGCATGGTGTGGGGCCCTCTCCCGTACAGAGGGCAAGAGCTGCTCACTAGGGTGTAGGCATGGAGCCCACTTGCCCACCGGAGGGTGGGCAGGAGGAGGAGGGCAGCAGCCACTCACCGCTGATCATGCCGCCACACAGCTCCCTGATGCGCTGCTCGCTGGCCTCTTTCCCCTGGAATTCACCCCAGCCCATCAGCAGGCTGGGCGTGCCCAGTACTGCCGCCCCAGTAACTGACCTCCCAGGATAGCCAAGGCCAGGCCCTGAGTGTCAGAAAGAGCCACGCACCGGAACTCCAGGTTTCCCCGTGATCCCGGGGACGCCCTGCACGCCCTGCAGGCCCACAGGCCCTGGGGGGCCCGGGACGCCCTGGACACCACTGGTGCCGTTGGGTCCCTGGATGCCTTTGGGGCCCAGCTCCCCTCGATTGCCAGACTGCAGAGAAAGAGAACAAAGGGGTCTGAGGAACCCTGCTGGGGCAGGGCTCGGCCATCCTGAGGCTGCTGTTCCCTGCAGTGCCTGTCTTGGTGGCCAGGACCTGGCCATGCAGGCGCACGGGAAACCACTGAGGCCTCTGCCCGGCACCTACCTCTCCTTTGGGTCCAACGGAGCCGCTGGGACCCTAGGAGAGAAGAGGGTTCTCTGTTACCTCAGTGCTGTCCTCAGACAGGGTAGGGTGGGGAGTGGGTCCCCACGGACCTGCCAAACCCATGAATAGCGAAGGGTGAAACTTTAAAGTCACGTGCAAATGCTGACGAGATTACTTCTTTGTGTTCTCCTGTGGAGACTTCTGATGTTGCTGAGCATAGGCACCATGGGTGCTTTAACACTGATTTCCCTGGAGAGTGACTACTGTAACTCCGTGGCAGCTTCTGGCCGTTACTCTGTTACCATTGTTTTTAGGTCTTTGGTACCAGGACTCGAACTTGGAGCCTCCCACTGGCCAGTCAGGCACTGTGTGCAGAGCTCTCTCCTGGCCCCAGTGTTTTTATGAACGACAATGGGCGGAGTGTCTCTGTCCTAAAACTCCAGGTACTTGTTCAGATGGGTCCTCAGGGACAACCAGACCCAGACGTGTGACCAGACACAGCCCTAATTAGACAGCAGACGCATGTGCCGCAGGAGATGGGACAGGGCACACACACAGCGGGCACCAACTGCCACAGCCACAGCCAGGAAGGGCAGGTGGATGCCCCATGCCCGGTCCCCGTCAGTGTACCTGAGACCACGCACACAGACTCCCAGCTGGCAGGGGCTCGGCGCCTCTCAGCCGCTGCCCACTGCTCCAGCAGTGGAGGGGAAGCCAGGAAGCACTGCTTCTGGGATTTCAGGGCCCAGCTGCCAAGGCTGAGTAGGAATTTGCCAAAATAAATTAAGCACAGGCCACTGCGTAAGAAGTTCACTTGGGGCCACTGGGGGCCCCAGAGACCAGGTCCCTTTGTGTTTTCCCTGCACACAAAGGACGGACTCAGTTACAGACTGAAAACCGTGTCCCACAGAAAACCTCAGACGTGACGATCTCTCATTTCCGTCATCCCAGGAGACACAGGAGTCCGTGAAGCGATTTGTTTTATACTCAGCCATTTCCACCCCGAGAATGCGGTTTGTACCCATGCAGCCTCACCAGTGACTGATTCATTCAGCTGAGGACCTCAGGTGAGTGGCGGGTGTGCAGACCCGCACTCCCGGGGGCGGGGCAGCTGTGGCCAGGCCTCACACCTCAGGTCTCCCCCAGCAGGCGCCATCTGCTGGCCTTGTCTCCTGGAGGGCTCCCTACCCACACTGTCCTGGGACCACACTTACCAGCTCTCCTTTGTCCCCAGGGAGGCCATCAGAACCTGCGATGCCCTGGAGACAACACACCCAGGGTTAATCATGGCTGTTTCCTGTCCTAAACTCCTGAAGCTCCCGGCTCCAACCCAAGACTGAGGCCAGGACTCAGGCTGGTGCCCGCCTTTGAACAGAGCATCAGGACCACAGAGGGCCTCTGCTCTGTCACAGGCCAGGGCAGGGCCCACCAGGCTGAGGGCACTTGAGGCAGGAGCAGGCTCCTCAGGGACGATGCAGCCACCCCTGAGCTCCTGGGATGGAGGAGCCTTTGTGGGGAGCGCTACAGTGACCACATGGCTGGCTGTGGCACAGGCATGGGCAGCTGTGCCCAAGGGAACGGGGAAAGGAGCTGCTCCAAGCTGCGAACGGACCCCAAGCGGTGGCCGGGCGGCGCCGTGCACATACTGTGCCCACTCACCTGGTCTCCCTTCGGGCCTGTGGCACCTCCTGGGCCCTGGGCAGAGAAAAGGCTCTGCTTAGAGACACCGCAGGCACCGTAGAGACAGTGACCCTACCTGGACCACACCTCCTTGCCTTCGTAGGAAGGGGCCAGAAGCCCATTCCCAGGCCAGGGCCTGTCTCGGGTGCACAGGTGGATGGCAGCTCCAAGGCCTGTGCCCTGTGGGCCGTGAGCATCAAGAGCCTTCCCTACAGAGCACCTCCCACCGCTGTACCAGTCCTGGTGGCCACGGACCCTCTTTATCATCTTCCCCTTGAACTGTGAGATGGGGACCATGTCTGTGGAGCACTCCTTAAACACAGCTAGCGGCTGAGTGTCTAGGGGTACAGAGCTGCCCGGTGGGCCTGAGGGCTCGGTTTGATCCTCAGCCCTGCCCAACAAACCAGGTGAGGACCTGCCCCAAGGCAAAAGGTGTGCCCCTCCCGTGGAGTCCAGGTGGCAGCAGGACCAGAGCTGCACAGGCGCCTGCTCACACCCCGGCTGCCCTGTGAGCCCGCCTGGTCCTGGGCGGCCACAGCATCTTGCTGAACTTCTGAGTGTTCTGCCCAAAGTGGACAGAATGCCCAGCGCTCCTCAGTAGACGGTGGTTTCTCTTGTGCCCCACATTTGCGGCCAGGTCCTGGACCCTTCCATCAGCAGGCCCACATCTGTGAGTGCTTCACCACTGTCCTGCAGGGTGGCCAAGGCAGGCACACAGGCCCTCAGGGACCTGGTGCCATGGCCCAGGCCCATCAGCCTGCACTAGGGTGATCTGAGGTATCCTGAGCAGGCAATGTCCCTGGGCCCTGCGTGTCTGCAGAGCTGAGTCACTGGCTGCTGCAAGCCCGGCAGGAAAGGGACCTGGAAACTCCCTGGGCAGCAGCGTGAGCCTCTGCCAAGTTAGGCGTCTGTGGGCCCCCACAGATGTGGTGACCTCTCTCCTGCCCCAGTTGTTGGGGCACAAGCCAGGCCTCTACATGGAGCTGAAGGCAGAGTGGCCTAGATGAATGACTAGGCCTGGGGATGAATGACAGAAGAACCAAGGGGCACTGCCTTCAGAGCTGGCACCACAGCCCTCACCACCCAGGTGGGTAGCCGCAGGCTCAGGTGGCCACTGGCCAGCAGGGTGTCTGCCACCTGTGTCTGTGGGACCACAGTGGGGGCAGGGTAGGGTGCACGAGCAGTACCCCACCTGCCAGGACAGCCACTTACCTGGTCACCCACTTCACCACGGAGGCCTTGGGGTCCTGGGAGGCCAGGATCTCCTATGCTGCCTTTCTGGCCCTGTGGACAGGTCCCAAGGGTCAGTGCCCACAAAGCCCAGCCAGGACCCTGGCCCAATCCCTCAGGACTCACTGCCCTGGCCTGGGCAACCGGGTCATAGCACCAGCTAAACCCTTACCCAGTGAACCCACCTGGAAGCCTCGGACGCCAGGGGGTCCAGGAGGACCTTGTGGGCCAAGGGCCCCCTGAAAGACACAGCTGTGAGTGGATGCCCTGCATTCAAGGTGTCACCTTTGAGGGGCCAACCTCTGCTCCTATGGTCCCAAGCCATCTGGCCAGGTTGCTGGGGACAGAGGCAGCTGCCTCCCGGGGAGGCAGGGAAGGGGCTCTGGGACCGTTTGTCAGGCTGGACTTGGTGCCAGCACCAATGCCCAACACCTCCCCTAGGGCCCAGGGTTGCAGAAGCCACAGGTAGAGGCACCAGACTTAGGAACTCCCACTTGAGCTTGCGGGGATCTCCGATGCAATGTGGCAAGAACGTCCCAAGAACAAAGTTTCCCCGTGGGCAGGGACCAAGAAGATGATGCTCCTGTCTCCCAGAATTCCCAGCTTTTGAGAGTTCAACCCATGAGGGCACCCAAGCACTACCCTATCACTTTGCCCACCCCCCACTCACCGCTGAGCCCCTGTGGCCAGCCTCGCCACGCTCCCCAGGCATGCCCACGTCCCCCTGCCAGAAGAGAGAAGGACATGAGGCAGGGTCCCCCATGCACTTGGCAGGGTCCCTGCGTGCACCCTGGGGAAGGGCCGGGACACTTACAGGGATGCCTGGCTCTCCGGAAGGGCCAGCCTCGCCCAGCTCTCCAGCTTGGCCCTGCAGAAGGGAGACCCCTCAAGTCCTACATTCCCCTGTCCAGGCCCACTGTGCACCCACCACCCTGCCTCCTTCCCTCCCCCACCCAGAGGCAGCACCCACATACCAGCTCTCCCTTCTCGCCTTTGGACCCTGCTCGTCCAGGGAGGCCCTACCAGGACAGAGCCAAAGTCAGGACTTCCCAATCCATGGGCAGAATGCACACGGGCAGCCAGAGCTGCACCCAGGGATGTGGAGTGCTGAGCCAGAGATGCTTGGGGATGAGGAGCTAGTCCAGGCCTGCCTGCCCCAGGATGGGGTTCAGACAGCTTCCTGAAGTGCAGCTCCAGAGCCCCTGCAAGAGTCCCCCGCTAGGGCAGATGGGGATGCAACCCCACAGCACATGGTGGTGGGCACAGGCACGGTTACGTGCCGCGCACACAAACGTGTGAGCACCCACCCACAAGGGCCCACTGGGCACTGTCCCCAGGGCCTCCCACAGGAGGGGGGGCCTGCAATGGCAGCCTGGCCAGCCAGGTCCCCCCTGCCCAGTACTCACTGGCAGCCCGTCAGGACCCTTCTCTCCTGGTGCTCCATGGCGGCCGGACTCCCCCTGCAAGGACAGTGAGCAGGGCGGGCAGTGTGAATGTCAAGGCCTCAGGAAGCCGAGCCCCCTAGTCCCTCCCTAGTAAGCCCCTGCCAAGCACCAACCTTCTCGCCATCAAGTCCTGGCACGCCGTCGCGGCCGTCCTTGCCTGGCATACCCTGGGGATGAGACACAGCCCCTCGAGTAGAAAGCAAGACTGCCCCTGCCCTTGCCCTGAAGGTGGCCCCTCCTAGCCACCCTTTTCCTGTCCCCCAGCTCCGGAGGGTCCCGTGGCTTCATTGCTGAGGTGTTCCCGTGGAACCTGCCACCCTCAGGGACACGCACAGGGCAGAAGCATGGGCAGGGTCACCGGCTGGCCAGGGTGCCCAGGACCCCCAGGACATCCCGCTTGGTGCCTGCCAGGCCTGCCCCATCACTCTCGCTTCCCACGTGATGGCGATGGCGTTGCCTGCTGGGGCTGAGAAGAGGCACAGGCAGGGGCTGCCACTGAGGCGGGGGCTGTGGGTGTGGAGAAGGGCGTGGCGGAGTGTGAGCACACAGAAGGGGCCTTGGGAGTGGAGCCCGTCCTGTGGCGAGTCACACGCCTGCCTGGGAAGTCAGCCTGGGGCTGGTGGTGGCCAGGAAGCAGAGGCAGCTGCAGAGGCTGGCATGGGTGAGGAGGGGAACAGGCAGCCTGAGGCCTGCGCTGGCACCCGCACTGGGGCAGGAAGGTACTCACCGGCTCCCCGACGGGCCCAGCCACACCAGGGATCCCTTTGGGACCAGGTCTGCCCTAAAGACACACAAGTGGTGACACGGCTGCAGTGGGGACCCTGAGCTTTCTTCCCATGCGGGCTCCCTACTTCCTGCAGCCCAAGCCTCGCCAGAGCTGGGCCTTGGGTGAGGGCAGCTGAGCTCTGGGCCGCGGTTTCTGTGGGTGCGCTGCCACAGTGGCACGGCAAGGCTGCCTGCTGTGCTCCCTGCTGCTGGGGCTCGGGGTGGGTCTGCGGAAGGGCCCCTTCATTTCGAGTGATAGTTGGTCCCTGACCTCACGGTGATTCTGCTGTTCCCTCCCTCACCCCGCTGCACAGCTGGGCAGCCAGGGTAGGGGTGACAGCTCTGCAGGGGCCAGGGCAGGGGCTGCCCGGCCAGGGTCTGAACCCTGGGGCAGAGCAAGGGCTGCCCTGCCTCCGGGCCCAGGCCTCACCTGTCTGGCGGCTTGCCCCACTCACCCTGGGAGTTGATGTGGGGCGCCCCAAGTCCCCCCACATGTGCCCCTACTCCAGACACAGTTGGGAATAAGATCTAGTTCTTCCCAGAAGGACCCACAGAATCACCCTCTTACTTACAAGGTCACCCTTGGGGCCTCGGAAGCCCTCTGGGCCCCTCTCGCCTCTGTCACCCTGGGAATGACAAAAGGCACAGGGACAGAATGAGCAACCTGGACCAAGGTCCCTGAGGCCCCTCCACGGCCTGCCAGGTCTCTGGTTGTGCTCAGCAGCAGCTGGCATGATGCTGCCATGGGTTACTGGAGCCACAGGGATGAAAAAAGCTGAACACCCAGAACGGCCCAAGAGGCAGAGCAACCCGCAAGGAAGGGTCCCTCCATGAACCTGCCCTCAGCTGTGCCAGGGCCCCTCCAGATGTGCTGAGTCCCCCACAGGTGCCCACAGTACAGCACAGCCCGGGGCAGGCCAGCTCAGGGCCAGTGGGCTGAGTGACACAGCTAGAGGAAGGAGGGGACCTGCATGGGGCTCCCCTCCCCCTAGACACACACGTACCACTTTCCCGGGTGATCCTGGTATGCCTGGGGGCCCTCGGAATCCAATGGGACCCTGCAAGAGAGAGGGCATTTAGGGTACTCTTGTAGGAACAGAGACTCAGAGTGACCCAGACACAGCCGGCAGGACAAGAGCCCAGCACTGCCAGCTGGACTCTTGGTCCCAACTGGACTTGTCCCATATGGGTCCCCAGCCTCCGGGGCTGACCTCAGCTGGCCACATCCTGTGACCAGGCAGCAGGACTTACCCGGTCCCCAGGGGGCCCGAGCGGCCCCGGCAGTCCTCTTAATCCTCGAGGGCCCTGTGGGGAGAAGCCAGAGATGCAGAGGCTGTGCTGCACCCCAACCTGAGGCTACTGCAGGGCCCTCCCCCAAGCTCTGCCTCAGGCCAGGCCCCAGGCTGCTTCCAGCCAGCATCTTTGCCTTAGGTACTGGCTGACTGTCCCCAAAGCCTGGTTATCAACTTGGGGGTCCACCCATGGGGCTCCCCTTCCACCACCTTGGCCCCTCTTGGCCTCACCTGTAGCCCCACAGCACCCAGAATACCAGCAGGGCCAGGCGGGCCGGGGTTGCCCTGCAACACAGAAAGCAGTGGTCAGCATTCAGGCTGGGGCTCCCGTACCTCGGCTGCTGCAGGTCTCCCCTCCTGGCAGCAGGAGGGCCTCATGCTACCTAAGCGTTGGTCCCCATCTAGCCCATCCTGTCCACCAGGCCACCCTAGACCTTACCCCTAGCCTGCTGTGACATGGGCAGTGGCCACAGTGACAGAGACAGGAGTGACAGGGCCCCAGAAGGCCTCGGTGCCCACTCCTCTCAGCTGCCCTTCCTGGGTCAGCAGCCCCAGCATGGCCAGAGGACCTACCTTCTCGCCGTCTTTGCCGACTTCTCCCTGTTCTCCTTTGTAGCCCGTGGGCCCCTGCAAGCAAACAGGCAGACCCCTCCAGCCCTTGGTGTCCTCCCCTGTGGCCCTGAGCTGAGGCCGGAGCCCCACTAGCTCGGACCCAGTCACAGTAGCACTGCAGGTTCCGGACCAAAGCCCAGGGCCCAGATAGCAAAACTGAGGCCCAATTCACCCCGTGCCCCACGTGAGAGCCTTCGGCCAAACCAGACAGGCAGCACTGGGGCAGGGTGGGCCACGGTGCCAGTGCCCAGTCCTCCCTGGGTCTCTTGCAGCCCAGGCCCAGCCAGGCCACGTCAGCTTCAGTGTGAGCTGGATGGAGAGGGCTGGGGGACAGCACTGCCCCCACCTCCTGTGATCCCGACCCCACCCCTTCCAGTCCCACAGCCCCTCATGACCAGCTGCCAGGAGGCCCACATCACCCGCACCTCCACTCACCTTGAAACCTGGCATTCCTGGAGGCCCAGGGGGACCTGGAGGGCAGATGGCGGGGCACTGTTGGGAGACAGAATGGTCAGGCCCTCCTGGCCCCCCAGAGGTCAGCACCCAGGGGCCCCGAGAAGGGCCACTGCACATGGCAAAGAGACTGTGGCTGAGCCCAGACAGGGTCCTGTGGGGTGTGGCCAAGGTTTGCGGGGGGCCAGGCTTGGCTGGACACCCCTCAGAGCTGCCCAATCTCTCTGCAGACCCTGGGTTTCAAAGCAGCTATTCATGAGCAGCTGCCGGCTCCACAGAGGGGCCTTCATCTCAGAACTGCCTCGAGGAGGCCCAACCACAGCCGCGATGCCCAGGCCCGGAGCCCACCTGGCGCAGCAGCCAGGCCTCAGCGTGCAGGGCCCTTGTGCTCCTCCCTGAGCTGAGCAGGGTGACCCAGGCCTCTGCGCCCCTGGCCCACCTCCAGAGCCAGCACCTCCCAGTCCGGGTGCCCGAAAGCCTCCCTCGCAGGCAGCACAGAGTGAGAAGAGAGTGCTCAGGGCTGCTGTTAAAGCCGTTCAGAGCTTTCCCTCCCAAGCACAAAACCGCAGACACCGACTGGGGATACAGCTTGGGGGCGCAGTGCCTGCCTGGCAAGCATGAGGTCATGAATTCGATTCCCTATACCAAAAAAACCCAAAAAGCAGAGAACCGCAGACACTGCTCTCTGATGCTGTGAACAGCTGCACGGAGGAGAAAGGTCTGTTTCTCTTCACAGGACTGACAAGGCCCGAGGTCAAGACCAACATGAACCCCGGGAGCTCCTGAGGTGAGGGCGGTGCCTGTCTGCACCAGACAGGCAGCGTCTGCTGTGCCGTCTGCAGGACAGGACCTTCCGAGCCTAAATTGCTGTTGTTCCTGGGTGGCTCAGGCCCACACCAGAGCAGGGCAGGTGCGAGGGAGGGGCGGTGGTGCCCAAGCTGTCTGCCCTGAGCCCCGTCCCCGTCCCCTCCCTGGTCCACCTCCCTGCTGGGGGAGCAGGGCCCTCTCTGGTGGGAGTGTGGCTGCCGTAGCCTCAGGTAGACCCTACCCCAATGGGGGCACCTCTGCCCCTTCACAGCCAACAAGTGCCCACCTGCAGGTCCGTAGCACCTTCGGGAAGGACCCCAGGCTGCCCCTGGAACACAGAGAAAGACAGGTCATCCATTTGCCTCCAACCCACTCTGATCATGACTTCCTCGCTCACCAGGATCTTGGGGTCCGCACGTGGCCAATGTGGGTGTTGCAAGCCCCTCACCAGGGCAAATGACAGTGGCAGGACATCTGTTTGGGGGCGGGGTCCTGCCCTGGACTCTGTCCAGGTTCTGTCTACTCCCAGGGAAGGCTCCATATCCTCTGGGGAGCAGAGCGGCACCCAGGCCACTGCTCAGCCCACCCAGGCACCCCAGAGCGCCCACCCTGTACTCACAGGAGGTCCTGGAGGCCCTGGGGGCCCTGGCAGTCCCGGAAGTCCATAGGGTCCCTGGGGAAGGGTAAGACTCAGGGCAGGGCCAGCCTCACCCAGTGAGGGCCCCAGCTTTGCCTGCGGTCAAGGACCTCCCGGTCCCCCTGCTCCAGGTCACTTCGCCACCCGTCTGCCTGTCTGGTGACCTTACGTCTGGACTGCTTGGGCTTTTGTCACTGCCCAGTGAGAAAAGGGAAGGAAGAAGGGGAGGTTACGGAGCTGTGGCTGAGGAGGTGAGCTCCGCTAGGGGCCACTCACCGGGGGACCACGGAGGCCAATCCCTCCTGGGAGGCCGCTGACTCCTGCCTCTCCCTGGGAAAGGGAAACACTGAGGTGAGGAGGTGGCACCCAAGGAGGCTTGCAGACCCTGAGAGGGTCGCCTGTGACCAGTGCACCCCACTGAAGGGTAGGGCGCTGGGCATGCTGTGGTCAGGCCATGCCCCAAGAAGCCCCACCCCTGCCATGCCCAGGCCAGCTCTGTGTGCAGAGGCAGATCTGGGAGCCCACATGCTTGGGTGGGGTGCATAGGGCAGTCTGTACTCACAGGGGGTCCAGGGAGGCCTTTGCCCTGCAAAACCAAGCCTGTGGTCAGGGTACGGGTGAGGTCTGCCCTGCCACCCCCAAGACAGTTCAGATGGGTCCTGGAAGGGACCCTTCCCAGGGTGCACAGCCCAGATAGGAGCCAGGGTGGGGTCCCCAGTCCAGAGCCCCAGGGGCAGATCTGGGTCCCTGGAGATCACTGCTGTGGCCAAACCTGCTGTCTCCTCAGACCCAAGGAGAGGCGAGGATGGTACTCACCCCCAGCCCAGGCGGCCCTGGGGGTCCCAGGCTTCCCTGAGAAAAAAAGCAGGTGTCAGGGTGCTCTGGGGAAGGAGCTTCACCTCTTCTCCACAGGCGCCCCACCCCAATCTGGTCCTGCAAGTCCTCCACGGGGGAGCAGGTGCAGGAGCCCCACTAACAGATGAGCGAGGCCGAGGCCGAGGCAGGACTCACTGCTGGCCACTTACGGGCAGCCAGGAGTACACCCTTCTACCCAAGAAGGGCCCGAGAGTGGGGCCTTTAGACCCCGTCTGACCACAGAGAGGTGACCCTGGAAACTCCACAGGAAAGACACATGGGGTGCAGACCTCGGGCATCATCCCTGGGCAGTCCTTGCCCATGCTGCCCCACTCAGGGAGGAAGGAGAGAGTCCTCAGAGCCAGAAGAGGAGGGGCTGGCAGTAGCCAGGCATGTCAGTGTGTGATGGTCAGACCCAGGGGACTTGGTGGCAGACGTCGAGGCCCTTGTGGTCGGTCACCCCACGGTGGAGGGGGAGCCACCCCCCACTCCAGCTACCCCTGCCACCGGCTGAATGCAGGACCACTTGCACCAGACATGGGTTGGAAGAGGGGAAGCCAGCTATGGGGGCTGGCCACACGACACCTGTGCCCAGCGCCCCTCTGCTGCCATCCCTGCCAGCGGACCTCACCACATCACTGGACATGGGGGCCAGCACTTACCCGCTCTCCAGGGGCACCTCTGAGTCCAGGAGGTCCATCCCGCCCAGTCAGACCCTGGGGAGCAGAGGAGGGAAGCATGTACCCTACCCCAAGGGCACAAGTGAACCACAGCTGGTTCCTCAGGTCAGATGTGTGCAGAGGTTTCTCAGACCCAAGGCCTGGCCCTGTCCACCCACTGTCCTCAGAGCTTGGGGTGAGGTGGGGACAGCCAGCAGGAAGCTAGCAATGGGGCCCCATGAAACAAAACCAGCAGGACTGGAGGCTCACTCCTACTGGGCTGGAGCCATGCCTGCCCCCCCCCAGGGGCTTGCCAGGGGTGGAGGAGCCCAACAGTGGTGCCTGTTCCTGGCTCATCGAAAGCTGGCAGGACTTTGAAGGGACTGGGACAGAGGCCAGGGACCCCACTGGGGACTTCTGTCAGGGCTGGGTCTCCTGCCTGAGCAGGCCCAGCAGGAGAAGAGCAATTACAACCTGCCCTTGGCGCTGGATTTGGCAGAGCCCCTCCAGGGCAGCCGCAGTGCAGGGGGAGGGGGAGGGGAAGGGGGAGGGGGCAAGGCAGGAGGAGGGGCTGGCGTGCTCACATCCACTCCTGGAAGTCCCGGCAGCCCTGCCTCTCCAGGCTTTCCTGGTTTCCCTGGGGTCCCTTTGGATCCCTGTATGGAGGGGGTGGCTGAGGTCAGAGGGACGAGTCCTTGGCTTTTAGCAAGAAAAGGAGGACTTCCTGGGCAGGACTCTGCCCAGCCATCTCAAGGGTCCCTTTCCTGGAGGCCCCACCCTCATGGCCCAGGCAGGCTGCCCCTTCCCAGCCCTTGGTTACCCGGTCAATTCAGCATCCCCAGCCAAGGCCCAGCAGATCCCTGTATGGGACTGCAGTGGGCCCAGGGCCCTCAATCCCTGGAACTAGACAAGTTGAGGGACTTGGCAGCTCCCGCCTGGGTGGACTACAGGGCTATTGTCCTTCCACAGCTTGCCCTGGCAACGGCCCAAAAAAGCTCCGAGCCAGACCCTACCCAGAGACACTGAATCCCACGCATGCCCCTCCTACCCTTCCTGGCTTCAAACCCTCCTGGAACTTCAGAGGCCTCATCTGGGGCGACACAGGCTCAGCATGAGGGGACAGACATCAATGACCTTCTGTTCCCTCTGCCCATCCCCCTCCAGACTGGAAATGGGCTGTCCCCTCCCCAAGCCAAAGACACTCACCAGAGTCCCAGGCAGACCCGGAGGACCAGCCTCTCCCTGCAGAGGGGTAGATGTTACACAGGGCCCCTGAGACCCCAGCTCAGGAAATCAAAGCAAGGTGGCCTCCAATTCTGTCCAGAAGGCCCAGCCCCATGGAGTCTAAATGGGGTTCCCCAGCCCCTCTTGTCCACACCCAGGGCCTCCTGCCCTCACAGGCCAGCACTAGGGAAACGGGGCTGACAGAAGGGACTCAGCCCTTGCAGGGCCACGCAGCACCTGACACCCTGAGGGCACAGGGACACAGCCCCACCCTCACGAGCAGGCTGCAGGCCTGGTCCTCAGTGCTCCCAGCACGGGGGCGGGGGGGGGGGGGGGGGAGACAAGAGCTCTGGAAAGCAGGCTTTGGGACACCCAGGCTCCCCCTGCTGGGGAGGCAGCAGCAGCACCTCCTTTCTGGGAAGGAGTTCCAGTGGCCCGAAGTTCCTGGATGCTCAGCAGCGTGAGTAAACTCCTAAACTGGACTGTGGGCTCTGGATTTAAGGGGAGCCCAGAGCCCCAGATGCCAAGCCCCAGTAAGAGAGGCAGAAAGAGGCCACAGCCCTGGGCCACACAGTCCAGGGTCCATCGCGACCCTGAGCGCCAGCCCTACAATAAGGGAGGGGAGGGGCATGGCCACCAAGGCTAAGTCCTCAGGGACTCCGGAAGGCTGTGCAGGGCCATTGGCCAGCACTACGGGAAAGGACCAGCCCTGATAGGATAAATAAGGTCCTCAGCCCAGACCACCCTCTTGGGGAGGTACCAGCAGCCCCCCAAAGTGGGCCCCACCTGCCCTGGGACACTATGGAAGACACCCCTTCTGGGGCATGGCTGACCCTCTCCACCCCTCACTGGCTCCAGCCCCAGGGAGCTCCCAACAAGAGCCCTGGCCCCATCTGTCCAGAGAGCCCAGGGCTCTGCCCATAGGAGCGCAGGGGTCATGCACCTTTCTTAACCCGCAATCCTGCCCCAAGGACCACCCAGGCCAGGCTGTGGCCCAGCAGGCGGGGACAACAGGTCTTTGTCCTCTCACTGCCCACCCTGGTTTCCCCACTCGCTGTCCGTTGGGTATGGTGCTGTCCCCACCAGCCCAGCACCGCCAGTTCTAGAACCCCTTGAACCCCATCCCAACTCACATCAATGCCATCCTTGCCTGGCTTCCCAGGTGGGCCTGGGGGGCCTGGGGGGCCGGGAAGCCCCACTTTCTGAAATAGAGAAGAGTCTTTAGTTGGGCCTGCACCCCACCATGGTGGCTTCCCAGGGCAGCTCCACTGGGCAGCCCCAGGCTCTGTCCCTGTGCCAGGGTGGTCACCACAACTTCAGGTCCCTGCGCCTCAGTCCTGGAAGCTGGCACCCAGGGCTGGTGATGCCCCTCACCGGCCAGGGGTGGCTGGGCTCTGGTCCCACGGGGAGCCCCAGGAACAAAGGCAATATTGTGCGTCCAGGCTGCACCGGCAGGGGCCGGGTGAGAACGGGATGGAACGGAGGACACATCCAGGTGTCATCTGTGGGGACTCAGGGCCGGCAGTAAGGCAGCCCCACATCCCCAAGAGTCCCCAAGGTGTACATAAGCCCTGGCTCCGTGGTGGACCTGGAAGCCAGGGTCGCCCCTGACTGGGACGCCTGGGCCCCACGCGGCCGCCCTTTGCTGGGAAAAGCTGCGCTCACCTGTGCTGCGGTGGCTGCCAGGAGCTGCCCCAACAGGAGCAGGGCCAGGCTGGGTGCTCGGGCCATGGCTGGCGGTCACTGAGCAGTGCTGGCGGTGGCAGCCAGGCAGGCGGTGGCAGACGGTGGGCGGTGCGCAGTGCGCAGGCTGGGCATCCGGCCGCCCCGCCCCGCGCGCATAAGCCCCTCATTCAGCCGGGCCCACCTGGGGCGGGCGGAGAAGAAACCAGGCAGGCTGGCCCGCCCTTGGGTTAAAATTATCCGGGGACTGGCGCGTTGGACACACACATCTTTCAGAGTACAAGAAAGACTCCTTTCTCCGTCGCTCCCAGCCGGAGTGTGGCTGGGAAAAGCCCCTCCGTGACGGGCGCCTTTTTGGAAGGGGGGAGGTGCTGACTTAGCTGAGGCCCCTGCTGGTCCTCTGTGCCCAGGCCACCGCTCGGCCTGGCCCGAAGGGCTCCTTCTCCGCAGCCAGGCTCCCAGCTTTGAGGCCCATGACACCGTCGCCGCGTTGGTTCCCACCCCTTTCTGGGTGCACATGGGCACCTCTTCTCCTGCTCAGGGGGCTCTACCCATGTGCAGCGCATTGACCATGGTGGAAGCCCACGGAGTCAACGCCCCGTCACCAGTGACATGTATCAGGACCTCGCCATCCTCTTGGGCACCTTGGGCCCAGGGGAAAAGGAAGGGCACGGCTGGACACTGCGTGGGATTTGGTTTTTGTCTTGAGAAGAAATGGAAGCTATCCATCCTCTACCCAACTGCCGCTGGCAGAAACTTGAGAGAGCCCCTCCCTCAGAGTAGTTACTGGATCTCAAGCAGAGAAGAGGGTCCCCACACCACTGACTGGAAGGATGGAGACAGTGCGATGCCCTTCCAGCCATCCCTGAAGACAGCGCCCAAAACACTGCCCCTGCAGTCTTCGGGTGACCCTTCACCACGCTCCCCAGCCTTGTAGCTCCCGAGCAGCTGGGGCTGCAGCTCTGCTGGGCACAGTGAGCCATGGGTGCCAGCTGCCCCTGGAGTGTCCCTGCAGCAGTTCCATAAACATCGGGGTGATGGCAGTCCAGGCCGCTGGCTGCTGTGGGCTGGGCTTACTAAGTGCCAGTGGCATTGAGCTTTTCAGGCATGCTGCCGCCAGCCGGCTCGCCATGAGGGTTATTCTGTTTCAGACTCGAGTCTCCTTGGATCTCTGCAGGCTTTGTGGTCAGCCTTGCCCCTACAGGCTCACCATCAGTTCAGGCAGCTGTCTCAAGGGAACCCTGAAATCCACCTCCCTCAGTAAAGGTCTAAGAGCGAGCCCAGGAACTCACAGTCACTGGCCTGCCCTTTGTCAGTCAGTGTCCCATCACAGCCGCAAGGGAGAACTCAGTAGCTTTCTAGTAGATAAAGGTCACGAGTTATATTTTGCTATAAAATTTTTTCATGATAAATTTCCGTGAAGAGGAAAACCTGCAGAAAAGGCTTCCTTCCCTGACAGCATGTGCAGGTGGCAGCTCTGTCGCCAAGCCTCGGCAGGTGCCAGCCGGCCCTGCAGTGTGCGCCGGGGAGGGCGCGTGCGTGGCAGCAGCTGACTGAGGCTGTGCCACGGCACTCTTCCTGCAGTGAGTTGATATTTTCTGGATTTTGCTTTCAGGGGATCAGTAAATAAAATCTTGTTGAAACTGGAAAACCAGAAGGGGGCAGGGAGCCCCCAGGCCAGTGAGGAGCCCTGTGAGCAAATCTGCCAATCGGGCAGAGCACACCCAACACAGCCTTGTCTTGGCACTGGGAGTCTGAGGCTGTGGGCCGAGCGCCCACGTCCCCCATCCTAAGCCTGGGCTGTACTGAGGGGGTCTATCTGGGGCAGTCCCCTGGGAAAGCTGCTCTTATCTAGCACTGCTGTGACCCAGGAGGGCAAAGCAGTGTTCTTGGGCAAGCGGGAAGCAGCAGCTGGGCCAGAATAGGGGGTCTCTCATGAATAGGACTTTTTCTGGGGGGAGTGGGGTTTGAGACAGGCCCGGCTATGAAATCCAGGCTGGCCTCAAACTCAGTCCTTCTGCCTCAATCGCCTGAGGACTGGGGTTACAGGCATGCACCACCTCCATGAACAGGAAACTCAGGGCTGCTGTGGCAGGATGACAGGGTGGCAGCACCCAGGCACCGCTCCAAGACCAAGTCACTTATGGGGCTCACCACACTGGCAGGCTCCAGGCTGCCTCCGGGAATGTCTGGCAGCCCCAGGACAAGCTGGCCAAGGGCTCAAGGCTTTGCTTAGGGCTTCACCTCTAGTGCACAGGAAGGGCAGGGGACACAAAGTGGCTGCAGGTGAGACTGACTGCCCCTGCCCAGGGGCGGTGACTGTAGAGTCCCCCCCACCCACCATGGAAGAAGGCTGTCGGCTGCTGGCAGCCCTGGTGTCCTGAGCACACTTCAGGGGGGCAGGGAGAGGGGGACACCAGGGACTGGTGTCTTCAGAGGTAGGTCGTAAGACACGGACAGGGTATGCTCAGACCACAGGGCTGGGGGTGAGGGGTCAGAGCAGTCTCCCCAATCCCAGGGCTTGGAAACAAGATCCTGTTCCCAAGAAAGCAAGGGTGTGGCCACTCTGGCACCTGCTCCTAACATCCCCACCCTGCCTGGACTCACATGCAGCTCACAAGGGCACCCTGGGTGGGACTCAGGGAGATCAGCAGCCTCCCACCTCAGGTGGAAACCATGGGCCAGCACCCGTGCTGCCCTTGACCTCCCCCAGTCCGGCCTTCAGCCCCGTTACAAGGCCATTCCCACCTCTGTCCAGACCCTCGGCTGGGCTGGCCAGGCCAGGGTCAGGGAGGGCAGACTTCATCAGAACCCAGAACCTCTGGTACCCATCTTGAGCTGGTCCCCCGTCTGAGAACACTGCTCTCCTAGAAGCTTAGGGGCAGGTGGGCCAGAGTCCTGGCCATGCCAGGCTCAGCACTGCCCCCTCAGAGCAGGCTTAGGACTATCTGACTCGAGCCCCGAGGTCAGAGGGACCCCACCAAAGTGCACCCAGTGCCTCAGTCTCCCCTCCATGCGGAAAACTCCATTAGTCGGGCAACCCAGAGTGAAGTGCTGGGGTCCCACAGCTTTTGCGGGGGGCATCTCACCAGGTGGGTTCACCTTCACCATTCTGCCCAAATGCAAGTCCGTGGTCCCTTGGGGAGCTAAGCTGGAGGTCACTTCAGAGGCCCCAAAATGGCTCTTCACTCCGGCGATATGGCAAGGCTGGGGAATGGGGGAGTGTCTAACCTCAGGGGGCAACGCTGGGCTGAGGGGGACTGCCTAGGAGGAGGCATGTGACCTTCAAAGTCAGATGGAGCTGGGGCCCTCGGGAGAGAGCCCCAGTGGGGAGGGTCGGGGAGCAGAGCTGTCACACCCCCAGGTCACAGCATGCAGAAAGGCTGAGTCTGGATCTGTAACACCTCAGCCCCGGAGGACACTGCGCAGTCCCTAGACTGAGCCTTGGGCCCATGACAAAGACAGCCAGACGCCGGCCCTGGGGCCTCTAACAGGACAGGTGCATGGTGGTGCCCACGCCTGGGACAGGGTACCTGGGGGGGCTGTGCCCCTGCCGTAAGGGACTCAGGGGAGTGGGAGTCCCAGAGAGGGGCCTGTGTTATGAAATCAGCCCCGTGGGGCACAAACAGAACCTCAGCCCATGCCCCGGGGCCTCAAAGTCCAAGGAGTTTATTCAGAAAAGACCTCGCTGGCACCAAAGAAAATGAACCCCCTCCCGCTGAGGCCTCCCCCACCCGTATGAGACACGGGGCTCAGGGGAGCCGAGTGGGAGTGCAGTGAGGTAAGGAAGCTTTTGAAGGCCTGGGCCTTCCCTGAGGGCAGGCCTCAGTCCTCCCAGAGGCCACTGGAGTGACCACCAGGGAGAGGCCAGCACTGCCAGGCACCGAGAAGAGCCAGCAACAGGGCACCCGGGCCCAGGTTTCCCTGCACAGGCGCTGGCTCCCCATCCCTTAAGGCTTTCCAGGGCTGACAGGGGCGCCGGTCCAGGCCGCCTCTCCCGTCGCATCCACTGAGGCTGCTGTGGCGGCAGGCCCAGGCCCATCCGACGGACTCCCAGGGGCGGCCTGCTCCGGGCCTGCCTGGCTTTCTGGGTCCCCCTCGGTGCCACCCTCACACCTCTGGGCCTCAGGGTGCTTCGCGGGCGCACTGGCCCCTGCTTCATCACCCCCGGCTTCCTCCTCCACCTTCCTCCGCTTCCTCGCCTCCTCTGTCAGCCTGGCTGTCGCAGGCTGGGGACAGGGCGGCTCAGGCTCCCCTGTGTCACCAGTGCCCTGACTGAGGGCGCAGCCCTCCAGGTTGAGTGCTATCTTCTCCACCTCAGAGGCATCCTGGGGCCCCGGCTCCCCGGGGGCCTGCTCCCGCCTGTTGGCCTCCAACTTCCTCTTCTTGCTCTCTTTGGGGCTTGGGGGGTCGGCCTTATCCTCCTGGTCCCCCTCCAGGTTTCCTGGGTCCTGGAGCTCCTCCCTCAGCGGCCCGGCACCCTTGGCCGGCACACTGTCCCCTCCTTGGTCCTGCTCTGGCCCGCAGATCTGACCCTGGCTGCCAGCTTCCTGGAGGGCATCCTCCGGGACCTCATTTCCCTCCACCTGCCTGGGGCCGGCCGGAGGTGCGACTGCAGTTCGGGGCCTGAATTTCAGCAGCTTGTCTCGGGGACCCCACACAAACTTGCAGCGGGGCTGGAAGTGCTGCCAGGCGAAATGCACGAGCTCTCGGCGCTGGTGCCGGCAGCGCACGGCGAACAGGAAGTAGTCCAGAGCGCTCTGGCGCACGCCGGGCAGCTCGCACCGCACCAGGGTCTCCTCCAGGAAGAAGCGCGCCAGCGGGGCCTGGTAGTGCTCCAAGCCCAGCTCGCCCAGAGACTTGAGGATGCGCGTGATGCGCAGGTTATTGTGGCTGCGCCTGTGGGAGGCAGCCGGGGGTGAACCAAGGCCCAGCGGTATGAGTCTCGCCGAAACCCACCGTGGCCGAGGGCCTCTGCAAGCCGCCCTGGGGTACGGGACTCGCCTAGAACCAGAAAATGGGCAGGAGCCCTGCAGGGCATGCCGGAGGGGAGCTGCTGGCTAAGAGGGCTTGAGGCAGGATGACCCCAGCCCAGGCTGACCATGCCATGCGCACTGCCTCTGCTTCCCCGAAGAATGGATCCCTCTAGGTAAGGAACTCCCTTTAAACCCTCACGACCCTACCAGGTGGGCACTGTGCCACTCGGCGGGCACACCTGTCTGAAGCCAGCACCCCTTGGGGGCACTGGGCAGAGAGCCGGTCCTCACCAGTTCAGGTTCTGGAAGCGCTTGTGGTAGTTCTGCGCCCGGCGCACGGCACCCGTGTCCCGGTCCTCTAGCTGGATGCCATAGAAGCCAAGCATGAGCTCGTAGGCCCGGATGAGCCGCTCCCTGACTTCCTCGGAGCTTTTGAACGCCTGGAAAACACCCCTAGCAGTGCTCAGGCCACTGTCCCTGCAGAGTGTCACGGGGCCTGGCACTGGGCCGGCCGATGCCTCCTTCAGGTCCTGATTCCCTGATTCTGTCTTGAGGATAAATGACAAGGGACAGGGGAACAAGCTTCCTGCTTCCCTCTGAGCTGCTGGCCCCTGGACCATGCAAGGCTGGCTTTGCCCGAACCTCCTTTGCTGGCCAACGGCACCGCCCTCTTGTACCTTGCTCCTGCTGCGTTGGCAGTGCCCAACCTCAGGCAGATTTCTAGATGCCAGCAGAGACACTGAGGGGTGGGGGAGTGTCACTGCAGGGAGCAGCAGCACCCCAAGGCTGTGTCCCTCTCATCCCAGCAGCCCAAGGTGGCGCTACATGGTGGCACATAGGGGAGCCAGAGAGGGTTACTTCCCCGTCCCCACCCCCAGCCCGGCCCAGAAGGGAACTCACCTCAACCTCCTTGAGTGTGAGCGGCTTGGCGTGCCAGTTCACTCCGGGTTCCCGCAGAGGAAACAGCCTGTGCAGACACAGAGAGGCAGCCCTTAGGGCGGGTGGCCAAGTGCAGCTCCCTACCCTCTCTGGGCAGAGGGCTGCAGGCAGGACTGGGGGTCAGGACGGTGGACTGTGGCTGACTACAGCCCAGGGTGATGCTAAGCAGCTGGCTCACCTGCCCCTGCTCAGGGCTCTCACCTTTCACCCCTTCTCTCAGGCTGTGGGGGTACAGGGAGTTAGGCCCATGATGCACCCCATGCCACAGGCTGCCCATGAGCTGCCCAGCAGGTGGCCCTCAAAGCTGAGCACGCAGTTCTTCTGCGGCCAGGTCACATTCTCCCAGGTCTGTGGCATCTTGCCAAGGCCCAGCTCAAGGCCCTGCCAAACCCAGGTTTGGCCCCAGCTGGCCCCGGGGCCTCAAGGGTTTGCACGGAGGCTGCAGGCCTGCCCATCCTCCAAGAGCACATGTGCAGCCTTCCTGTGGCCCCAAGTGCCCTGCTGGACTGACCTACGGAGCTGACCCGAGATGCAGCAGCGCCCAGCAAGGCCCACCCCAGGGGTGCAGGCATCACCTGCAGGGTGGCCCCCAGCTTATGGGAAGGATGACGTGCCAGAACTCACTAGGGAGCAGTCAGAGGCAGCTGCAGCCAGGGCCCCACCCTTCCCTGGAGCTCCGCCATGCGCTGCCCCTCACCACTGGATGTAGGAGTGATTGTCCTCCAGCAACTCGTACTTGTCCTTCCAGTTCTGAAGGATGTCCTCAACGAAACAGCCTGTGAGCCAATGGGGACAGGTCAGCCATCCAAGCCACCCTGACAAGGCCTGGGACAGTGTGGCCAAAGCGCCCCTCACCCCCAGTTTCATCCTGCAAGTTCCTTATGGACCAGCAGGGCTATCTGTGCTTCACTGGCGGTACCACCTTTGGGTGGGCAGCCCTTTGGTTCCTTTGCAACCTGCTGCTGAGTGGGTAGAGCCCCTAGACTGACTCGTGGCTGCAGAAGGGGCCTCATGGTCCAGCTCGGCCCATGGCTCTCTGCAAACAGAACCCCAGCAAAACCCAACCCAGGAACACAGTCGAGCCCATGTGTGCGAAAGGCCCCATGGCTCTCAGCTGTGTGGCCCACACGGCTGTGCTGCCATCACCCTGCTTCATTTTATGGTGAGAAAGAGGCTGCACAGGCTGGTGGGCGTGGGCAGGCACCACCAGCCTCATCGGCACTGAAATTTTAATTTCTTATTTTTGTATCACAAAATACTATTGTTAAACCATGCAAAAGTCATTTATAGCTTACTAGTTGGCATACCTTGCTTTTCTGAGGCAGCAGCCGAGTTCAGCAGTTTGACAAGGTTGATGTGAGCAGAAAAGCCTCCAGGGTATTCTCTGGCTCTTAGTTCCCCAACCCTAACCGAAACTTTGATGCCCCTGGCTGCCCCCAGAGGGTGCTGTGAGGCTACTGAACCCCAAACCAGTTCCCAGTTCACTGCCCACGCAGTTCAGGGCACAGTTTCTGCATTTACCATTAGGCAGGAAGCGGATCTCGTTTTTGTAGAAACTCAAGTTGGGCATGTCACCATTGGACTCTCGCTCCACCAAATCCTGAAGAGCCAAAGGGGATGGTTAGGGATATGTCACACAAAGCTTGTCCCTGAGGGCCTCTCATAGACTCCTTGTTCTGGGAAGTGGTATTTGCAAAGCTCCAGATCTCCAGAGGCTGACCCGAGCCCCCAAAGCCTGGCCGCGGCTCCTTACTTCGGGCGAGGCTGGGTGTGGAGGACAGTGCCACCCTTGCCTCTCCACCGGTGTGGGCCGGGGCTGGGGACTCACCTTCCTCTGTACCTCAAAGCAAGCCCCAGGGGTGCCTGAGATTCAAGGGGACAAAGCATAGGGACCGAGAGTGACCCCTACCCCATATGGCCCCACACCATGTAGTGACGCTGATGGGGGTGTTGGGAGGTGGTGTGGTATGGTTTTAGGTTTTAAAGCTGGGAGCAAGGGCTCAGAGGGGAAGCAACGCACGTTGACCGCCCCATCATTAGGGGAAGGCCTGGGCTTGGACAAGGGACACACTCTGGAATCCTCAGCAAGAGGAGATTCCAGGAGGACACCAGACATGCTGACTGAGGGCCGACTCGAGGGTTTCTGTGTCTCCAGGGTGCTGTGGGGGCTGCTGCAGGGGCGGCAGCGGGTCGCGGGTACCCACCGGGTAGTGGTGCCGGTAGCGGCGCATATCCTGCATGGCTCGCCAGTTTCGGGTCCCTGTGATTTTGGACTGGGAAGAGAAGGAAAGGGTGAGGCTTCTGTGCACCCCAGGATGGGGCGAGCATCGTGGCCAGGGTCAGCTGTCAAGAGCTATCTTTGACAGGTCCTCCTCCTGACCCCTGATCTGGCTTCTGCTGGGGACTCCAGCGGGGAAACCTGGATGCTAGTGAAGTCTCCCAACCCTGCACAGAATCGAGGCAGCTATGGCTGAGGGCTGCTCTACTCTGGCTCTTCCAGGGATACCAGGTATCCACCTCAGATGGGGCAGGCACTTCCACCGCCATCTGTCAGCACTCCTATCCTCAAGCCCCAGCTCTGTCTCCTCTTCCCAGGTGCTTAGGCCACCCTCATTCTGGCCGCAGCCCATGACTTTCCCCTAAGTTTCGAAAATCCCACAGTACTTCCTGTCGCCAGGCTGTGTTCCCAGGGCAGCCATATTGCCACAGACAGCTCCAGAAGGGGACCCAGCTACTCGGGCTGGCTCAGATTCTCTGCCCACCCCCGTGGAGAGGTTAGGTCCCTTCCCTGGCTCTCAGCCCTGTCCTGTCAGCGGACAACTTCTCAGCAAGGTGGGCGGGGAGTGTCTTGCTGTGCCTACCCCTCAGCCCCACTCAGCAACTGAAGCCCCTGGAGGTCCAGGGCGGGGCCACGGGTGACCGGTGACAAGAAGGACAAGAAACTCTGTCCTGACCCTGCTCTGTAGGATGGTCCTGCCCTCGGTGGCTGAAGGATGAAGGCCTGGGCAGCACACCAGCAAGGCTTGGGACCAGGGAAGCCCCAGGAGGGGCAGGAAGCCAGCCCCCCATCCAAGCTCTAAACCCCTTCCTGCCTCCAAGCTCTAACTAGACAGGACTCCAATTAGGGTCTGGAGCACTCTCTCCTGATTTCTAAACCAGGGCCAGCTAAGACGAGCTCTTACCCAGGCAAAGCAGCTGGAAGGAACTCAAACTTGGAGAAGCTGACCCTGCCTCTCCCTGACCTCCCACTTCTCCCTAGGCCAGCAGCTGCCAGGCGCAGCTGGGAGCAAAGCCAGACAAACAGGCGCACACTTGAGGCCTCTTTGGGGTCCCACGCAGGGCAGCTGGGGAGGCGCGAGTGGGTGTGCAGCAGGAGGGAGGGGCTTGGGGCTTGGCGGAAGGACAGAAACCCTCCAGGCAGGAGGCAGAGGAAAAGGACCTGAGGTCACAGGCACTGGGCAGGTCAAAGCAGGCACTGGGCAGGTCAAAGCTGGCACTGCTTCAAGAGTGCAGCTCAAGAACAGTAGCGGAGGGGAGTGATCTTACACCGCATCTTCCTGGAGGCCACAACTAGAGCCTGAGCCTGCTTCGGGTCCCCTCCCACCGCTCCTGGGCTGGCCGGTAGCACTGCAGGTGCGCTGGGGGACGCAGGGCAGCAGGGGCCTTCCGGGTAGGCTCAGCAGTCCTCCCAAGTTCTCCGGCCACGCCATTGGCCACTCCACAACAAGGAGACAGTCGGGAAACCAGTAATCCCTGCCACGGTAGGAAGCCACCTCGAAAGCTCACTCCAGGCTCCCAGACATTCTGCACCCCACTTCCACACCCGGGGCAGGACGCCGCAGCCTCACAGGAACGTCCAACCCGCCGAACGCCGGTAAAAGTCACCCCAAAAGACGAACATCAGCGCGACCGAAGTGACCTGGAGGCCTCCTCGCAACTCACTCAAGGGCAGCCTCCTAGGCCCGGTCCCAGAGCTCGGTCCTGCCTGAGCGGGCGTGGGGGGCAGGCGGACGGGCTGAGGGGCAGGAGCAGACGGAGCCGAGCCCTCCGGCCCTCCCCTGGCGGGCTGCAGTAGACAGCAGGCGAGTCGCCGGCGCGAAACCGGCGGGATCGAGCGGTGACAGCCACCGGGGCCGACGCGCGAGATGACAAAGAGAAGCCAGGGACGCGCGAGGCGCCCTGAAGAAACGCCGCCCGCGCACGACCGCGGCCTCGCGTGGCCCACGCAGGGCCCGGGCCTGGGGTCCACGGCGGACGGGGCCTGCGCGCCGCACCTGGAGCGAGCCGGGCCCGGACGCCCGCGGCTCCCCGGAGCCCTCGTCCTCGTCCTCGTCCTCGGCGCCCACGTCCGCCTCGCCCGCGCCGGCCTCGTCGCCGTCCTCGCCGTCCTCCGCGTCTGCGTCCTCGTCCTCCTCCCAGGTGGAGTCGCACTCGGGGTCGTCCATGCTCGGAGGGCGGCGGCGGCGGCGGCGGGCACAGCGGAAGCGAAAGCGAAAGAGGAGGAAGCGCAGGGGCGGGGCCTGGGGCGGAGGGCGGGACCTGCGGGGGCGTGTCTTGGGGGCGGGGCCTGGCGGGAGGAGGGGCGGGGCCTGGTGGAAGGAGGGGCGTGGCCGGATGGAGGCTCCGCCCACGCCCGCGCTCCGCCGAGGCAGACCGGACTCCAGCAGCCAGGGAGGGGTAACCCTCTCCCCGCGGAGCGCGCACTCCAAGGAGTCTCGCAGGGGTCTGCTCCCCTGAGACAGCCCTTACAGGTTGTCCATGAAGGGTGTGTGGCCCCCAGCCGCTCCTAGATCGTCCGCCCCTGCTTCAGCCCAGCCTCGAGGCGTCCTGGAGGACCCCTGACCCGGTGATGCCCTCACCTGCCATCTGGGGGCTTCCTTTCCCAAGAGCCAATCTTCCTGCTATCTGTAGCTGGGGCCATGTTCAGCTTCCCAAGGTTGCTGGCAGGGCCCTGCCCTGAGGTCCCCTCCGTAGACAGTGGACCGTGGGGTTTGCCTCGCCAAAGCCCTCAGTGTGCAGAGTGTGGTTCACGGACATGAGCTCCCGGCGCCTGTGTCAGCTTCTCGTCCACGCTTGCAGGGCTGGGGCACACAGTCTTGGAGGCCAGGAGGCTGAGAGGAGTGGAGCCCATCCTCAAGGTCCCTTGGTCTCAAGGCTGCCCTCTCTGTACACTGCAGGCTTTGAACAGCTGGGAATCACAGCCCGCTGCAGTTTCCAACATCTGCTGGAGAGGCCCCCTGGGTAGGAAGCTTCCTCTAAAACTGGTGTGCCACCTTGTTCCAAAAAACCCTAGGTGAAACTCAGAGCTGGATCTCAGACTTGCCATTAAGGACGACAACTGGGGAGCTGCTCCCACCTCCACTGGGGTGCCGTCCCACTCCTGGCCAGCTGGCAGGCGATGAGTGGCTGCAGGGGACCGGCCACTCTGTGAACGGCATGCAGCCTTCTGGCTGTAGCCTCCACATGTCCCAAGCTTCACTCACTGGGACCTCCCTCCTGCCTGGCACCTGAGTCCACACTGCCTTACTTTCCCAAAGGTCAGTTGTGAACCCATGAGGCTGTGGGGTTCTGGACATATCTGCAGGTTGCGTGCTGGACAGGAGGTGTGGCCTTGCTATGTGATCTGAAGCCAAACCTAGGTTTACCATCACAGCAGGTGGGGGAGCCGCAGGTGGGCATCAAGAGGGAAACAGCTGCACACCCTCTGGCGGATGGGGGGAGTGTGGGTGGGTGGCCAACCCCTCTACTGCTCCAGAAAGAGGAAGAAAAGCAAGCGGAGCACCGACACCACCGCCCTCAGGACAGCACCCCCTTGTGGACTCCCCAAAGTCAGGCTTCTCCCGTGGACTGGGAGCCCAGCGGCTGGGCCAAACGTAAGAATTGACACTGAGTGGGGGGTGACCTTTAAGGAGAGGTCACATGCGAGTGGACGCTTGCCCTCGGTCAGGGTTGGCGCAGCAGCCCTCACCCTGAAGCCTCCCGGGCCTTGCTGCAGTGCCCACCTCCCCACTGCCACTCTCGGACAGGGCAGGCAGTGCTGACTGCAGGAGAGAGTGCAGGGGCAATCAGGGCGTCCATCTGGGCCTGCTGGGCCTGCATCTCAGACGGGGCAGGACTCAGTTCTGACCACCCTCACAGATCCAGTGCGGATCTGTCTGGGCTCTGCAGAAAGTAGACCATGGGCCTCACAGCCGGGCTGGCCCATGAGAGTGAAGACGCAGGTTGAAGACTGGCTGCCCCTGAACCTCAGGATGCCCTTTCTGTGCCGGGGAGCCAGCGCCAGCACTGTGCTCAAAGCCACTTGACTGCCCCGTCTGGAGGTGACGGGGAATTTGGCACGGTCTGGGCTCAGGTCTCCGAAGATGGCAGGAGAGGAATTCAGGCCCAGAGAGGCATCAGGATGAGCAGGACAGGGCAGGGACACCGGCCAGGGGGAGTGGCAGGCCTTTGCCAGCAGCCTCAGGCCCAGTGCCAGAGGACAGCTCTGGCTGGCCTGTGTGAACTGATTATCAGGTTCAACAAAGTAACCACCTGGGCCTCAGGTCTTCCACCTTAGGATTTCTACATTGTATCGAGCACAGCTCAGTTGTTTAAGTGGGCTCTTCTGTTACAAATCTTAGAAAAATACTTCCTGCCGAAGAAACAACTAACCTCCTTTGATATCAAACCACATGACCTGGGTCGACTTTTTTGTGCTTTTAATGTTCCCAACCAAATGAAGTGCACCCCAGGGTGCACCAGGGCCACCACTGCCTCAGCCCATGGTTGTGCTTTCCCGTCACCCTCATTTGGTCTTTTCACAAGTCACCAGAATTACAAAAATAACCACTACAAATTCTCTGTATCTGGCATATAAAAACTGAGCAAAAAGTATCTCAGCAGTTGTTACCTTGAAACAAAACATCTCAGAAAAAATACAACATAGGTTTAACTTCTGCAGTATTTTTGCTCATATAAAACACTAGTATAAAATAGGTTTCTTAAAAATTAAATAGTGAAATACCAACCAAATTATATACATCATTACAGTACAGTGAATGAGGCAAAATATCCAGTCCTCAGGTTCTCGGCTGGGGGACGTCCACGCAGGCCAGTAGTGTGACGTCCAGGCTTCCTTCTCCTGGTATCCTGGTCAAGGCAGGAGGGAGGCTTAGAGGGCCAGGCGAATGTAAGGGGGGAACCCAGGGAGACGAGGGGCTCCTTCTGAGGACAGAGGGCGGTGTTTTATTGCTTGCTGATTCAAGTCTTCTCTGGGTCTCCTCCAAGAGTGATGGACGAAGGTCGAAGCCCTGGGAGGAGGCAGAAGGCAGATCCGGCTGGGTTGATCCTGGTCTTTCAGATCCGTGAGTCCCCAGAAGGGCTGGCAATGCAGTGGGAGCCTCCACGAGTGTCCCTGTGAAATGAACACTTGTGCCGAGGACTGAGGGCAGGCAGTAGTAGCTTGAAGCATCAGGATGATTCTGCTGCCCCCAGGGGTCCAGGTGTCTATGTTCTGCGCCGCTTGGCAGCGCTGGGGCTGGAGGGGTTACTGTTTGCTGTGAGCACTTTGTCGGTGACCCGGCTGCGCTTCCGCTTGTCCGCCCCTTCTTTGCACCCCAAGTCTGAAGAGTTCTTCTCTTTGTCTTTGCTGGATTTTTCTGTTGCTTTCCCCAAGCTCCCTGAAGATGAGAAAACTGAGAAACAAAATCATTTCACTGAAAACAGAACACTAAGCATCTCAGTTCATCTTTCTGTTCAGTTAGAAGTCAGAATCTACATGCGCAACTCTGAAGGCAACAGGCTTCCTCCTGGCTAGGGAGCCCCTACAAGGGGGCCAGGTGCTCCTGAAGGCCTCCCAACCATGAGCCTCAGTGTCACACACGCAGGCTTCCAGGCTTTGCCCCAATGTCAAGTGAAGGGGCAGCTGAGCACCTGGCTCTCTGCATGGGAAGTGCAGGAGCCCTGCACTAAGAGGGCCATGCACCATGATGGCCTGTCCCTGGACTCGCCATATTGCAGGCTTTATGACCACCTGGCCGTGCTCTGAACTTTCTAGCTGGGGAAACAGGGTCACGAGCTCTGAAGAGCACAGGGGCCATTGCGGAGCTCCACACTTACCATCGTCAGCCCCGCTGTGCGGGTCCACGTCTTCCTTCATCTCCTCTTTCATTTCCTCTTCAATGATCACTTTTCCTGTGGAGGAGACGGCTGACGTTCACTGGAAACCCACGGTGATGGCCAGCACTGGGGACGGTCAGGTCAGCACTGCCCAACTCTTGCTGCCCACACAGGTCTTGGTGTCTGTCACATGACTGCTCCTGAGCAAAGTCCTCCCCAGCCCACAGGTTCCCAGGACCTCCCGTGTACAGCAGAACCCGCACACCTCCCGCTGCTGGCCCAGGTCTGGCCTTTTCTATTCCCAGGGCTGACCGCGTCCAAGTCTCACCTTCTCGGACCTCTTGAATGATCTCTTCAGGAAGGACGAAGTTCCTCTCTGGATTTGGGAAGGGAAGAATCTCAGACTCATGCTAAGGAAGAACAGACCATTTTGTGTTTTCAAGAAACAAAGAAAATGTGATGTGAGCAGGTCACTAAAGATACACAGAGGCAGCTAGTGAGGAACGGGTGAGCGCTGTGACCTCTGGAGGCTGCGAGTGGGTGGCACTCAGGGTGAAGCCTTTCCCTTCCTTCCACCTGCAGGGTCCACTGTGGCTCGGCTTTCCAGATGGACAGGGAGGGCTCAGCCAGGCAGACCCTGCAAGGAGCCTCGGGCCAGTACCACTGAGAGCCCTAAGGAAGCTGCAGTGCGGCTCACCACTGTGGCCTTTTCCCCACACTGTCCAAGGGAAGCAGGTCCAGGGAACAGTGACAGTGAGGGAAGCTCCCAGGTGCCTCCTGTTCCTGCCTGCATGGCAGGTGCCACAGACCCTGAGGGCATCAGCAGGGCAGGCCACATGCACCGAGTGCTGGCAAGGTGAATGCGGCAAGGTAAGAAGGCCTGACTGGGCTTCCTCAGGTCACACAGATCAGAGGGAACAGGACCCCTGCACCACAGGAAGCAGGAGGGGCACGATGGGCCCCTGAATGGGGATTGGGAGCCAGGCGCTTCTATCAGCAGCCCGGGTATAAGGTGAGGCCAGGCAGCTTGGCCTAAGTGTTTCTGTCAAGGGGCTCAGTGCCAGGGGAGGGGACGACCGGGTCTTGCAGGCCACTGTGTCCTCTGAGCCAGCACCTGTGCCTGTGCTCTGGTGCTCTCTGTGTTTCCCAAAGACAGGCACAGTGCTACACTGATCCCTCTGGATCCTGGTGCAGAAGTATGTGGACACCAGTGCCCCAAATAACAGGCTGCTAGCTCTGGGAAGCCAAGAGTGGGCCCCTGACCCTGCAGGTGGTGCCCAGGAAGCAGCACCAGACTAACGCACTGGATGTATGGGCAGGAACAAGCAGACTACAGGATGCAGAATTCAGCAGTTTGCTACATCTGGGTTCCCAGGTGCTGGTCACCCAGCACAGACTCCGTAAGACTGTCCTCCACATGGGCTGCAGGCACCAACTCTAGCTGCAATCCTAAGGGCATTCCTATGGCCAGGCTGTGGTCTGCCCTGTCCTCTTCCTACAGCTCTGAGAGGAATGTGCAGGATTCACCAGAGCCAAGCAGATTCTGTGCTCAGCCTCAGTGGCACAGCACACACCCAAGTCCACCCGGGAGGATCAGTGTGGCTTCATATCCAGGCAGGAAGCAAAGACTCTGCCGCCACCAGCACCCACTCTGGGTACCCTACTCCCAGCCCCAGCTCACTCCAGGAACACTCCCTTTGACTTCCTCCCAACCTTGGCTGCCACAGCACTCTGACATTTGCCCTTTCCCTGCCAGGAACATCCGCCCATTTCTCCTGCCTCCTCCATTACCTAGTGACCTGCTCAGCGCCCCACCACCCCAGTTATCTGGTTTCCCTGCTGGCTCTGAGCTCTGTGAGGACAGGGCCTCTATCTGCCTCGCTCTCACAGAAGCTGCTTTACTTTCAGGAGACTCAGGTAAGATCATTCTCTACCAACAACACTTCTGGGTAATGGGAAGACTGACAACTAGAGGCCCGTGCTTCTGCGCCCTCATGTGCCACTGTTGTGGGTGCCTCTCCCTAGTCTCGGGCTCCCATTTATCCCTGGAGACTTTTACTGACTGCCCAATCTAAAGCAGGGTTTCTCAAAGAGCAACCAGCTCCATCACTAGGCTGGTGCCTTCCATAGCACTGCTGAGCTCTCAGGAGCACCAGGACTCCTCCGAGGGGCAGTTCTGCCCAGCAGACCCCCATATGCCTAGTAGTGGCCCTGACCTCTGGAAGACAGGGTGTGGGGTCTCCTGTCTCCCCACTGCCCCCAGGACTGGAGGAGTCCAGCTCACCAGTGCCTGCATGTCATACATGGTGCTCAGATGGTCCCAGATGACCTTGGATGGAACCTGCCGCCCGATGTTCTGGCTGAACTTGTCCCGGATACAGATCATGTGGAAGTGCCGGTTCACACCTGTGGGAGGAGGGGCAGGGCAGCATGTACAAGGGTGGGGGGCAGAGAACTGTGCTCACCCCGGGAACGGAGGGGTGAGGCAAGTCTGGAGGAAACAAGAGGCTCGGATGGGGAGAAAGAGGACGCTGGTGTTGGGGTAGCAACAGGGGGGGTAGGCCTCTAGGACAGGCCAAGTGAGACAGGGCAGGCGTCAGTGCGGGTGTGGGGGGGCGAACGGTGAAGGGGCCGGGCAGTGGCAGGGAACAGGGAGCAGGGTGTCGGAGATGGAGGTGGTCTCTAGGCGCAGGGCTACTGCAGGGAGCGAGGGTATCCCGGGTCGGGCAAGGCGGGATGTCCTCAGGGCGAGCGTGCCCTGACGTGGAGGGTCACAGGCTGGAACCCGTAAGGACCGCGAGCGCGGGGAGCCGGGCGCCGGCTGCAGGCCCCGCCCGCCCCGACGGTTGCGGCCGCCCCGCCCCCACGCGGGTCCGCGGCCGGCGCTCACCGACGGGCTTGTGGCCCAGCATGGCGTGGAAGAGGCACACCTCCACCTCGGGGCTCCACACCACCGTCTCCTCCGCCGGGCTCGTGGCCGCTTCTCCCGGCCCCTTGTCGCCCGGGGCGCCCCCGCCGCCCACCTCGGCCTCCCCCATGGTCGCCGGCGAGCGACGAGCGCCCAGCGCGAGCAGGCGCGGCCACAGGCTCCGCGCAGGCGCACTCGCAGGCGAGCGGGCGCGCGCTCAGCAGCGCTCGCGCGCGGGCTCACTCTCCGCGTTGGCGCAGACGCAACGAAGGCCTCGCTTCCGGGGTGCGCCCCCTGGCGGCCCGGCCCCTCTGTGGGACAGGTCCCTGCTCCGCGGAGCGAGGGGGAACCGGAGGCGCTGACCCGCAGGGATTTAGAAGCATTAAAGCCCAATAATAATAATAAAAAAACCTGCATCAAAACAACGACAACGAAACAAACTTAAAACCTTTATGTTTCAAAGAACACTATCCAGAAACTAAAAGAACCCACAGAGTGGGAGGAAATATCTCCCAATCACTAGGAACTCATATGCGGAATGTATGAAGTGCTCCGGGGAACCCAGGCACAGCAACCCTGCACCTGGAGGTGGGCACTGGGCGTGGGGTCCGGGGAGCTGGGACGGTGGGCGTGGGCAGCGGCCGCGGTCGGTGCCGCGTGCAAGGGGAGGAAAGCACGCTAGTTAGGCTGTGGCCGCGCTGCACGCACTGCTACCCTTAGACGATCAACCGTGCTGCAGAGCTGTCCAAACAAAAGCCGCGACAGCCGAGGTGCCTGCAGGCGTGGGCGCCTAGGCGTGGGCGGGGGCGCTAGCAAGCCAGAGGCCGGACCTCTGGGGTCTGCACCGCCTCCCGGGGCTACGCGCTGCGTCCCGCTACGCTCTCGGGACCAGCGACTCGGCCGCGCAGCAGCACTGGTTCGGGTTGCTGTTTGGGGCGGGCGGGGCAGCACCTCGGAATTGTAGGCTGCTGGGCCCTCGGCTCCGCCCCGCCCGCCAGGCCCCGCCTCCGCGCTCAGGCCACGCCCACTTGGGGGGTTCAACTTCGGGAGGGTCCAGGTACCAGCTTCCCGCGATAAATGTAGTCATTACAAACATGTACTCATAGAAACATTTTTAAACACTCGAGAGATTTCAGGCAAGCACCGCGGAGAATTTGGACCCTCATCTAAACAAACCGGATGAAGAGTGTATATCACTTCTGCCTTACATGCAGAAAGTCTCAGATTTGAGCTCAATGAAACTGTGGCTGAGAATTAACTTTTAGCCTAGTATCCGGCACAAACCTGTAATCCCAGCACTCTGGGAGGCTGTGGCAGGACGTTTGCAAGCTTGAACCCTAGGGTAATTTAGCAAGCCACTATCTCAGCATGACTTCTAGAAGCCTGGTGATGTGGCTCCGTGTGAGGCCCTAGATTCAAACCCCAGCACTCCAGAAACAAAGCAGCCCGTGTACTCTGGGGTCATGCTTCCTGGTCTTCATGCTTCCCCGTTTCTTTTCTGCTCTAACATCCCAGTTGTGCGACCCAGCAAGGCCCAGCCTCTGCAGGACTCTGCCTTCTCTCATACAGTGTAGTAAACAGTCCTGTGCTCCAGAGGTTCCACAGAGGGCAGGCCAGCTCCTGGCCCTGGCCACTCCCTTGGGCCTCTGGTTGTTGGCAGGTGTGGCTCTGGTCAGCCTCGTCCGGGATGGCTCAGGGACTCCCCCTCTGATCCCATCTGTGAAGGGGAGTCCAGAGCTGTGTGCTATGGTGTGGGTGCCATATCCCTCCTGTTTCTGACCACAGCTGGGCCTTTGTTCGTGCCCTCTGCCTGCCCAGCATCTGGGAACATCAGGGCCAACTCCAGGGCCCTGGGGAGAGCATGAGATGCCACATGGCAGAGCCTGGCTGTGACATGAGGAGGGGCTGGTTGCGTGCACCCCATGGGGACACCAGGAGGGCTCAGGGGAGGAGCTGTTCCCAGGTGAGGGCCAGCATCAAGGGCCTGGAGGGGCCCTTGAATTCAGCCCTAGGGAATTCAGCCCTGGGGCTAGAGCCCGAAAGGGTCCAGAGCTGTGCAAGGGGAAGCCATGCTTGGAGATGGGTCTGTCTCATCCTCATCTCTGCATCCCTCTGTAGTACAGAGGGGGAAGAGACAGTAACAGTGGCTCTTTGGGTGGGCGGGACATGCAGAACAGTGTGCCACCCTTTCCTGTGTGTCCTTTAGTAGGAGTGGTTTGCTTTTGATTTTGTTTTCAAGACAGGATCTTTCTCTGTAATTCGGGCTGGCCTTGAACTCACAGCGATCCTCCTGCTTCAGCCTCCCAAGTGCTACAACTGCAGGCGTGCACCACCTTGCCCGACTGGTTTTTGAACCACATCCATGAGTCGCCTCTTTAGAAAATTAAGTGAAAACTCTACATGGCAATGTATTACATTTACAATAAGAACAAGCAAAGTTGGTGGGTCATGATGACACCCCAGAACTCTGGGAGGCTGAGGCAGGAGGTTTGAGCCCAGGTCTGGCAATTACTGACTTGGTGAGACTCTGTCAATGAAAAAAAATTTTGGCAATGTAGCTTGGTGTAAAGACGCTTGGTTCAGCCCTCAGTACAGCGAGAGAGGGAGAGAGGGACAGAAGGACAGAGGGACAGGGGGACAGAGGGAGAGAGGGGACCTGGGCCTGGCCCCTTCTCCGCCATCTGCCAGCTCAGGCCGATCCCCCTGCAGGGGCACTGTGCCCAAGGGCTCCCCTGGGCGACAGTCACCCTCCCGTGCTCTCTGATGAGGCAGCTGCTGAGGACATGAGCCTTTTGAAAGGAGCTGAGACCGCAGAGGAAGGGACCTGACCACAGCCCTGTCCAGGACTGAGCCTGAGTGGACATGAGGCCTGGCTCTGCCTGACCCCTTTTTCACCCCAGGTCCCCGATCTCTTATTCTTTGGGAAAACTAATGAGAACAAAATTATGGTCTGTTCTCCGCTTTCACCAAAGAAGCCTGATGTCTTACCAGAATTCAGAGTTGAGTTTCAGGAAACCCCCTTGGGGACCAATCCCAGGCCAGCCAACCGCGGCTTGCAGTGGACATGTGGCGCCGGTAGGGGGCGCTTCCCACCCACAGTTGAACTCAAACCGGTTTCTGTTTGAAACTCGCAGCAGAGCGGGAACAAGGCACTTCCTGCTGGCTTGGCCCTGGCAGTCTCCAGCTGTTCTGCTCGTGAGAGGCCTCAGGAATCGCTGTGGTGCCCTGAAGGCAGGTGTCTCTGCCTCTGGGCTGGGCTCAGCAGGTTTCCGCTTCCGGGGACTCAGACCCAAGGACCAGAGAAGGATCTGGGCACCCCCACGGCACCCTGGGGCAGACTTGGGGTGTCAGGCTGGCTGCCTTTATCATCCTCTGCTTTTCCAGTTCTGTGGGAATAAGCTTGTGTTCATGGCCATGGTGGGATGCATTGCCCTTCAAATCCTCATCACAGTCCTTTGCCATCAAAAACCTGAGCTGGGTGTGGTGGACACACCTGTAATCCCAGCACTCTGGGAGGCTGAGGCAGGAGCATCACAAATTAGAGCCCAGCCTGGGTAATTTAGCAATTTAGCGAGAACCTGTCTCAAAATAAATAGTTTAAAAAAAAAAAAAAAAAAAGAAGGCTTGGGATGTGGCTCAGTGTGAGAGCCCTGGGTTTAATCTTTAGTACCACAAACATCACAAAACAAAACACAAACAAAAAGCCTAGAACGGAAGGCCCTTTGACTAATGGCAAAAGGTGACTCTGAGAGCACAATGGCCCTGCCTGTGGAGCCTGGCTGGAGGCCAGCAGGTAGGACCAGCGTCAGGCACACAGAGGGGTCCTCCTCCCTCTGGCCAGCGGCGGTGTCCACATGTCACGACCATGTGTCGTTCATTCCTCATGGAGAGCCTTCCTGTATTGCCCCATTCCCTCCGTAGCGGGTAGAGAAACTGAGCCTCAGGAATGCTGGGTAACTATTTTGTTATACCAGCAAAAGGGAAGCCAGTCCAGGCTGTCCTCCTGCCTCAGCCACCTGAGTGATGGGATTGCAGGCATGTACCACCTGCACCACCATGCCCAACGGGAGCAATTCTTACAGGCACAAAAAGTCACTCAAAAACAAGGTTTCTGTGCCCCAGCCCTGCTGCAGAGTGCACTGAGCATGAGATGCAGGAGATGGCCCAACGGAGGAAACCGTGAGCCCCAGGCCCTGCCCAAGGACAGTGAGTCCAGGAGGACTCGGGTCACTGTGCACCCAGCACCTGGCTGCCAGCTGTCAAGAAAGAAGCTGTGTGGGACACGGGGACCCCAGGAAGCACAGGGAGCTGGGGCTCGGTCCTTGGGTGCGGAGGGCTTATCAATGGACACCATGCTTTCTTATTGATAATTGCATCTTGTGACATTCACATGCCTGACTAGATAAAAGAGAATTGGACCAAAAAGTGGGCGTGTGCACACGTGTGCGTGTGTGTACATGTGTGTGTGTGTAAGTGCATTGTGACAGCAGGCGGACAGCAGAAAGGCAGGAGCTCAGGACGGAAGGAGGATCCAGGTGTCTCACCAAATTACAAAGATGCCTCCGAGGGTGTGAGATTCTCCCGCAGCTGAGACCAAGCAGGCGCTGGGAAGCAGCTGGAGGGGCCTCAAGCACCGCCTTCCAGAGCCGCAGGAGCTCGGGGAGGCGGTGGGTGGGGCAGAGCAGCAGGAGATGAGCGGGGGGGGGGGGGGGGGGGGCTGCGGGCGGGGCCGGAAATCCTTTTAGCAGGGTCCGGGAAAAGTTTCTCTAGAAAAAAAGGGATGGGAAAGCAAATCTGGCAAGATGTCAAATGTCGCTGAACGGGGGTGGGGGGGGTGGGGGGGGTGGGGAAGCTCTTGCTATGAATCTTGTAGCTTCTCTGAAATTTTGAAATTACCCAAAATAAACAGTGTGGCAAACCAGCGTGGCGGCTACAGACCCATAATCCCAACCCTTGAGGAGGCTGAGGAAGGAGAACTTGCAAGTTCAAGTCCGCTTAGGTAATTTAGCAAGACCGTATCTCTAAATAAATAGATAAATAGGCCTGGGGATGTAGTTCAGTGGTAGGGTACTGCAAAGACAGACAGGGAGAGAGAGAGAGAAAGAGAGAGAGAGAGAGAGAGAGAGAGAGAGAGAGAGAGAGAGATCTCAAAGACTTAAAAATGTACAGTTTGGGACAGAAGATATTCAGAAGAAGCCTGCCACTCCAGTGCTGCTCTTCTTTGTTAATAAAGCGTGTGCACATATGTGCGCGTGTGTGTGCACATGCATGTGTGCATATGTGTATGTTGCTAATAAAGCGTGTGTGCAGGGTCACACGTGGTGGATTTTGAATCCTGGGCTCCCTTAGCACTCCACACTGAGCACGCCTGATGAAACCGGTTCCGCAGAACTGCTTATACCAATCCTTCATTTCACTGTGATCC